TCTTATGCGAGATAGATATAATATCTGCAAAAGCGTACATTTACCTGCTCAATCTGGAAATAGTGAAGTACTTCAAAGAATGCGGCGGGGCTATACTCGAGAGGCTTACTTGGAACTTGTACAGAAAATTCGCAGGATAATTCCAGATGTTGCACTGACAAGTGATTTTATATGTGGTAAGGATACTGTGCTGCAAATATATCCAATTTTTAGGTTACATTACAGTAGTATAACCACAGAGATGAGAAATGGATATCTATTATTTTACTTGATGACCTCTTTTCAACTTTGGTACCTATAAATTGTGTATAATTTTACAGGAATTACTTTTCTCCTATATTATTTGTGTTCCTAAATACAATTCATGCATGTGCCTTGTGGATTCCTTTCTTTGCAGATCTATCTTGGAAAGCTTATCCGACTCTCTGGTATAGCCAGCTCAGTTTCCTCCGATATTCAAATATATATTTTTTGGTGCTTGATCTTGTTTAATAAACAACTGTGTCACAAGTAGTTGTTGACGTGTTGATTCCCAATTCAGAAGTCTCATGCTGTCAATTGTCTTTCCTGCAAACGCTTATCTTGAAAATTAGATAGTGTTAACTACTCTTTCTATCCAGAATAGTCGCATTTTACTCAACCTTTGATAATTATGGATATGTTTTATAAATATACCCCACTTAGTAGTCATGTTATTTCCATCTTGTCTCCATTACTTAATCATCAAACCATTACTATACTAGGGAAGACCCTTTTTTTTTTTTGGAATCCTAACATAGTATATGCGACTGACTATTAATTACTAGTAGAGGGAGTCTCTATCTCGTGATTTTCCTATAGAAATGATTAGACAAAATGGAATTTTACACATTCAATCATCAAACTTTTGTTTAATGTTTTGTAAACCATGTGTATTTATTAATTTATATCTGCCAATTTTTGCAGGCTTTTGTGGGGAAACAGAGGAGGCATTTAGAGATACAGTTAGCCTCATCAAGGCTGTTGGCTACGATATGGCATACATGTTTGCCTACAGCATGAGGGAGAAAACTCATGCCCATAGGAATTATACTGATGATGTCCCTGAAGATGTCAAGCAAAGGAGGCTGACAGAAATGATAGAGACCTTTCGTGAGAGTACCGGTAAGAGGTATGATTCTCAGGTTGGTACAATTCAGCTCGTGTTGGTTGAAGGCCCCAATCGAAGAGCTCCTGAAACAGAGCTGTTTGGTAAGAGTGACAAGGGCCATAGAGTTATACTTCCAATTACGCCATTATGTAATAGAGATAGCCAAGATGAGAATAAGCGAAATCCTAGAGTTGGTGACTTTGTAGAAGTCAAAATATCGAGATCCACGAGAGCAACCCTATTTGGGGAAGCTCTTGCAATAACCAAACTGAGCTCTTTCTACAAGGTTGCGGAGGAAGAAGCCATGGTTTGTGCTGGTAGATCATGATAAGGTTTATGCTTACAATATGTAATTTATACTCATAAATTGCCCTTTTGTACTAGGGAATTTTGGTTAAATATAGTGAAACTTTAACCATTTTTTATTTGTCTCCCCACTGCTTCACTTGTTCTGCCAATCAATCTGCCATGAACACTGATTTCATTAAGGAAGAATATGTAAACCGATGCTTGTCTTGTGATGGAAACATGTAGGATAAGCAGGACGGTTCTCCCTTAATGGGGGATGACAATGATCTGCTGCTTGTATTTTGTACAGAATTATTGGTGTACCCTTGAGCTTTGACTATTATTTCTTGAGACAAAGTTGAAACTCAGAAGTCAGAAGTTGGAAATTGGAAGAAACATGAACGGTGAAGCCTCCTTTGTATCAAGTGAATGATGAATGACACAAACTCCCTTGCTCAGTTGCTCCTATTATGTTGGTTGATAGACACTATATCTTCAAATAAGTTTCAATCAGGTTCGATCAAGCTCTATAAAGTTCAGAAGATTTCAGGTGACTCAAATTCACCCTTAATCATCATATAAAATTGTTGATGTTCTATTAGGTGCATGTTTGTTTTTTAATTCTTTATTACTTATGCAAGCCTTGATTAGATATTTATAAAATTATTGTACTCTGTTCTTCTATAGAATGCTTAATTTTAAAGTACATTGACCACATAGCAAAAAAAATAGTAGTAAAATTATATTCCAACACTTCCACGGAAAAAACACAATGTTGCTTTGGTGCTTGATGTTACTTTTGTTTTGTAAAAGATTTGGTGTATTCTTAATTTGGTGCATATCTATATTCCTCGTTAAAGGCAATTCCAGAAGATACAAGTTTAGAAGGTAATGTCTTTGTTGAAGTTGAACCAGTGGAAGTGGACAATTTGCAATTTCCATCCTATGTAGGAAGTAGGAACAGTCTCCTCACAAACCAGTCTTTTTCTGGTATTATCAAAGACAATTCTATTGGTAGCTGCTAGTACAGTACTACACGCATCTATTTACACCATCATCCATTATGGCAGAAGATAGTGGGCTACATTCCGGAAATAAACTTAAAAAGTAGACCAGACTCGTACCCAATAACTAGACTTGAAACTAATTTAGAGCTGATCCAAACCAAAAACTAGTCTCCTTGTTGCCTTGTTGGAAGTTGGTCACACTATACCTAAACATGACACGGTTCGAATCAGTGCTGATACATACGGAGTAGCTTGTTTTCATACTCTAACCATAAGCCTACCTTGGAGTTCTATTTAATTGTTGCTATATGAGAATATTCCTTATTTCTACTTGTAAGATGTTTCATTTTGGTAAGGTCCTTCAGCTTACATCCTTATCTACCCATTAAATAAATAAATAAATAAATAAAGAAGAAGTTGACTTGTAAGATGTAGGCAATAGGCTAGAAGTTAAAAGGAAGAATGCATGAATAATTACGCACAATTAAGAATGTTTGGCCAAATGAGTGGAAGCACTAGCCCTGTACATTGTATTTGTAGCACTCCTACTTGGTAGTACTCGTAGTAGTAAATAAGAATAAGATTGTGCAATTAAAAGGAGAATTATTAAATGTAAATAAAAAGGTGTAATAGTAGCCTATAGTTTGCAGGGGTCTATGGGCTTACTAGGAGAATAGTATTGCTCCAGTCACTTGATGCTCTCAGCAGATGTTGATATTGCTGCCTTTTGTTTTTTTCCTTTAGTAATCTTTGTAACATTCATCCTTTTACTACCAAATTTTCATACCATTTATTTTATCTGCTCTCAGTATTGAGTATTCCTTCTCCTTTGTAGGAATGAATGCTGATTTTCAACTTCATTACAGCTACTGTCTGCATTGTCAGACATTTGGTATTTCAATTTGCATGTTTATGTTTCCTTCTTTTTGCATTTTCTTAGCTACGGAGTACTTGGCTTGGTTATATGAATTCCTTTAGGTGCCTAACAGCCTAAGTTATTAGCTACAGTATTGTAGTCAAAAAATCAATTTTTGCTTAGGTGTGTTGTGCATGCTAGAGAGGCTAATAAATGTACAGCTAATAGAAATTGTCACATTAGTCTAACCTTTTAAGCTCGAGATTTTACTAAAAACACCTATGCAATAGCTGTCCTTGTTAATCTCTCATGTCTCCACATCTCAATGACAATTAGTGGTAACAATCTAACAATATTAAAGGGTACGTATTATTTTGAATACATGTTGTAACTTTATTACTCCATAATAGAAAGATACTAGGCATGTAACATTTATTTTGTTTGCGACGTAGTATGTACACATTATTATTCCTTTTAAAAAAAACTTGTATACACTAGACTACCAGACCCATATGGATGCTATTTGGTGTGCCAGAGGGGCCATCAGTAATTCTAAATCCAATCCACCCATCTTCGAATCCTGCCGACCCTGTCTATTCAGTCCTCGATCACATAGTACAATGTACTCCGTTTATGTCTAAGAATAATATTAGGCAGAGTTATGTTAGAATTATAAAATATCTTATTAATTGGAACCTAGCTTTTGTATAAGCTGATTTGATCTTGTATAAATGATTTAATTTAATAATTCTGTATAGATAAGGTCATGGAGTTTCCAGACAAATACATTTATAAGTCTTGGTCATTCACTGCACCAACAAAACGGCCCATCCCTGCGATCCCCCTCCGACCCTCCCCTATTATTTTGCATAAGATCCTACGCAAGTGTGATTAATTCAAGAAGGAGCTGGTGTATCTTTACCTTGCTACTAAGAGTATAATTTATGAAATCTCTAAATTAATAACAAGCACAAGAATTATTGTTTATGATGAAAAGAATATACTCCCTTTGTTTCTGCAAGTTATTTTAATTTGCACTATTTTTATTAACAGTTTTTCATACAATATATATTTAAAAAGTTATATTTTAAAGCTACAAGTTGAAACAAATCAAACAATGAATGTTAGATAAAATTTGCATAAAATGCATAAGATTTTAAATGAAAGCGACTTAGGGCCTGTTTCGATTTACTGAAAACATCTAAACTAATCGGGGTTGAACTGAATAGAGCTAAAATGAATTGTTTATGAGAGAAGAGATTAGGAACTGAACTAAATAGAGTTGAAATGAATTGTTTATGAGAGAAAGAAATTAGAAATTGAACTAAATTAATTGGAGTTGAACTGAACTGAAATTAAGCGGAACATAACAGACTTAAAAAAACAAAAATGTGTCAACTAAAAAGGAACAAACAAAACATTATGTACTGTGTATAATCTTCATAATTTGCGGAGTACATTATAGTAGCACATAGTCCATAGTGGAATACTACTGGTAGTATTTGCAGATTTGTTTAAAAAGCAAGAAATGATAGATTAGTGAAGTAGACATCACCTCCGATTCTAGGGATCCTAACGATTTGGATTAATCTGTGAAGGATTCACTTTATTACCTAAAAATGAATTATTCCTCATTTATATATATATATATATATATATATATATATATATATATATATATATATATATATATATATATATAAAAAGAATAGCTAAAAAAGGTAGTACTAAAAAGGTAAAGAAAAGGAACAATGAAGAGAATATAAAGACTAGTCTCAAGTGGAAGTTATGATAACACAAACTGACTCATAAAACTTGTAACCCAGAAATTCATCAACAGAGAAATGATGGGGGGATGGCGAGCGGCTATGGGGCTGATCATCATCGCACCGCTGCTGCTGCTGCTACGACGACTGTCGAAATTAAACGAAAAGAAGACGAAATACAAAAACATGGAAGATATCAAGAGTAGGGTTCCTGATGGATGTTCAGGTTGGCCTTTCATCGGCGAAACTCTTGAATTCATCGCTTCTTCTTACACCTCCAAGCCTGTTTCTTTCATGCTCAAACGCAAATCCTTGTAAGTTTATCTGCTTATCTCTGTCTTCCCTTAATTCTTTCATTATCGCTTTCATTGCTGATACATGTATATACGTAAACATCGTCTTTAAAACTCCGACAACACAACCAACAAATATCCAATATTAATCTCTCTTATATTTATAACAGTTATCTATCCCAACTTATTATTTTTTTTTTAAAAAAAACATTAAGACTTATTAATTAGTACTTCATCCATTCCGAATTAATTAGTATTGTACGTTTTAGCATAGGAAAAGAGAAGGCCTTAGTTTGATCCGAAGCTTGTTAATTTTTGTATCATCACTTGTAAGCTTTTAAATGGGGTGGTGTAGTTTTTGACATGCCCAACAAATACCGAGTGGAATTGTATTAATATAGAATAGTGGATCTTACATCCAACACAAACATTTTATCAAGGTCTTGTCAACACGCTCTACCCGTCAATTTCTCTCTACTAATCTACCAATAATTAGCATAGAAAGAGTCAGATCAGATCATTATTAATTTATCATCACACACTTAATTTAACGGGAGACCATCAATTAATTCATTAAATTACAATTAAACAATTATTCTGTACTAATGAAATATTTACATATGTTTTTTTAAAAAAACATATAAATAATTGATCGATATTCCAACCTCCAAGTGTATTGAAGAATTAAAAAAAAAACGTTTTTATTTCATGTGTTTTATTTGATATTAAAAGTCAAATTTTCTCATTAATACCTATGAATTCTAGTGTTCCAATTTATTTAATTATTTTTTTTCATAAATTGTTCATTAAAAATTTAACGTTCAACTTTTCATAAAATAAAAAATGGAGTAGATTTCATATTTTTATTATGTTTTGGAAGTTCGCCTTTTAATTTTTAATAGATGCATTCGTTTATAAACTTACTTTGATCACATATATATTTGATTATATATTAGTAAAAATATAAAAACATAATAATATTCATTGAAATAAATCCAATAACAATTAAAATAATGATATTTATAGGTGTATATATATTACTCATAGTAGATAAAATAAAGCTTGCTATTGAGGTAACTCTTTGGCTTGTGGGTTTGTTGGTTTTTGCCAGTTAGGATGATAATAATAATAAAGATCCTAGAGAGATTGATTAATAATAATAACAACAACAACGGCTTATGATTAAGAGTAGGTACACATGTTAAACGCAGAGATCGAGAAGAGATCAAGAGTTGTAGCAACACTTTAAGAACCACAAACAACACCTTTAATAATCATGATTCTTTAATACCAACATCAACTAACGCACCTACTTGCTAATGAAAAATCTACCGATAAAAAAGTGGTGTGATCGATCACCTATTTATGAAAATGAAAGGCATGCATCATATTTTCTTGCTCCATAAGATCATCATCATCATTTTCATGCATCTTTTTCCAATAGTATTGTCATCTATCATCATTAGTGCCCTGTATCACTACAATAGGTAATTCCCCTTTTTAGTTTGCTCATCATATATACAAGTCGGTCAATCCTTTTTTCATTTTTTTTCTTTTCTAATCTCTATTTTTTGAACCAATCAATATTATAATTAATTAAATTTAGGTGACATTGTCTTACAATATTTATATCATTATTATTTATTATTTTACTGAATTTATAAAAAAAATTTAGCATCCTCCTAAAACTAACTCTATTAATCTAGACTTAGTAGATCAGTTGGGTAGTAGACCCTAAAGTTGGTACATTACGTCAAGAGAAAACTTTAAGTGGATACTTTGTTGCATTAATAAATTTATTGTGATACATAGAGAAGTAGTTAAGTTATGTTCTTTACAACTTAATGATGAAGTTGAATTATAATTGAACTGTACCAAAAATCTAGAAACTAGGTCTAATGCAGGAATTTGCTCATCTCAAAAAATAATGAATTGAATCACCCTAAAATCTGACAAGAGTCACCGTTATATATACCCTTTAATAAACTATTGCAAGATTTTGCTTCCAAAAAAAAAAAAAAAAAAAAAACACTATTGCAAGATAACCTCACATGGATTAAGTATAAGAATTTATATGTTCCTTTTTCATCACTTAGGAAATTGGAATAACTTAATATTCAAGTTGTCCACAAGGTAGCATGCAAGAGCATACTAGCAATCAACAAGAAGTTTATGATTTTATGGTAAATTAATCAATGAAGCTAATTAGTGTGTAACTTGGTTGTACCATACAATCAATGCATCAACAGTTTACCATTTGTCAATACACTGTTAGACTCTATATAAGATTATTGCAATTTGCATATAATTTATAATATAACTTGGTTTTACAAAGATTAAAGATGACAATAGATTGTGTTTGGCGGTGAAGTGCTATCTCTCTTACTGGGTCTGTTAGTTAATTAACATGGTCCACACGTTATATTTATGCCAAGTTGATGGCAGTCCACCGGCCGGTGTCGTCCTCATGCTCATTAGGAGGCCTCGTGACGTGTTGGGCCTCTAATTATATGCATAGATTTGGAATTTTCCGGTTTATCTCTAAAGAATTTTATAATGTTGGTCTACCTCTACAGAAATTCATAATGTTTGGGTTAATAAACAACTAGTGAAGACATAGGAAGAAGTGGAAAGTTACAGAAATGAACAAGTGTATAAAGATAACATTGTTTTTCCTGTTTATGAAATTAATTATTTTAATAATTAATATTTATGTATGGATGTTGAAAAAGAGAGACATAAGGGTCTGTTTTGCAGTAGTTTCCCCCTGGGCAACAGTAGTCAATCTGGAAGAAACCTTTTTGTCTCTTTTCTTTAATCAATGTAGCAGTTTTATTTTTATTCATAACATTACTACTCGTATACATATATTTAGTGGGAATATATATTTCTTGCATAGTATATCAGCATATGGTAGTTGATTGACTAGTCAGTAGTTTGAATAATTTCAGGCAAACCACAATAAAACAAAACAATACATAACAAAACTAATGCATGAAGAAAAAGATATACATATAGCACAATAGTTACAATATGAGAATTATAATTTTTTATGAGAATGGATGATGTTTAATCACAAAATATTCATTTCATGTGATGAGTTATTCAATTTGTTGTAATTAGGCCATGTTCGAGTATATTAAAAAACTTAGGGAGTACTGTATTACATGTCAATAAACGGCTGGGTTGGGTTGGATCAATCTAGAGACTCGAAAATAAATTACGAGTCTTGGGTACAATTGGAGTTTAAAGAATCAATAGTGCATAATAGTTTTACCAGGTATAGTACCTTTCAAAAGGAAGGAAAAGGAGGCTAATAAATAAAGCCAAGTATTAGAATGGAAAGACTGTTGACTACAGTAAATTGACTCAAAAAACTGGAGCCTCCTCTTACTCCGCAGGCTGTAGACAAAAACACACAAATCTATACTCGGATATCCTTGCTAGTTGCTACAGTACATTATTAATAGACTTGACTTGAGTAGTTGAGTTTCCCAATGTATAAAATAATGACTCCCATTCGGCATCCTCTGTGTCATAATAGGGCCATTGCATGTTTCACACTTACATCATATCACTACACTTTCTTTGTTTTGCTCGTACTTGTAATTCATGCATGTAATCTATCTTGCATTTTTGTAATACTCGTAGTATATTGGATCATGTATGATAATTTTATTGATCACTTGAAAATATGTGCTCTCACTCTAATGCAATGATAGCAATCTAGGGCAAAGGAGAGACATTCTTGTTTAGATGATCTTGTCATAGCGATCATGATCACAAAAGAATAAAAAGTAAACTCCAATGTACCGACGACTACACACACTTAATATTTTGCCATACGATTTTGATTACTTTTGTGTTCTCTATATTTTTTTTTGGTGAAAAGAAGTACTTAAATAACATCAACCAACATTACAAAGCCTATTACAATCCAGTATATCAATACAGTATAAACTTATATTTTCTCTTTTTTCGTTCTTATTATAAAGGTACGGAAAGGTTTTCAGAACACATCTATTAGGGAAACCGGTAATAGTGTCGACTGATCCAGAAATAAACAAGGTGGTGTTACAAAACCATGGTAACATATTCATTCCATCTTATCCAAAATCCATCACCGAGCTATTTGGTGAATCCTCTATATTGAGAATGAATGGAGCTCTCCATAAGAGAGTACACGCGTCGATCGGAAGATTTTTGAAGTCCCCGGAATTGAAAGCCCAAATTACAAGAGACATTGAGAATTCTGTTAAGATGTCCTTGGAGAAATGGAAGGATAGTAACCTTGTTTACATCCAAGATCAAACTAATCAGGTGCATTTATAAAAAAAAAAAAAATGAAATTTATTATATTTTGCAAGTAATTCATTGAGAAAAACTTATAATTTGAATGTATTTCAGCTTACATTTGAGATATTGGTGAAAGTACTAATGAGCCTGGGTCCTGGTGAAGAAATGGAATTGTTCAAGAAAGAGTATAAAGAATTCATCAAAGGCTTGATTTGTTTGCCAATCAAGCTCCCTGGCACACAACTTTACAAATCTTTAAAGGTAGACTTTTTTTTTTTTATTTTTTGTACCAAGTAACAAATTAATAGTGCATATAAAGTTAATATAAAGTTGGTATCATCCCCAAATATTATTATTAATGATCCACACACTATGGGTTATACAATTAATACATTGTGGTACTCAGCTCCACACTAACTAGGTAGCCTGAAAATAGATGTGCTCTTGCTTAATTAATAAGATTCCATCAACCAATATGCTGTTAGTTAATTACATCATATCAAGAGTATCATTTAATTACAATAATAGGTTTTGGACCATCTCATCTAGGGTTGGTTGGTATAATGATATCTATCTACTAGTTCTTATAATTACCAATTTGGTCTTAGCCTTTAACATTTTAGGCATATCCTCTGCTGATCGAGTACAACATTATTCTAAGACATATTTGTTAATAATTGTGTGTGTGTAATGAAGGCAAAAAAGGATAAAGGATACACGCAAAAACAAGAATAGTATTGTCTTCATTCTCTCAATTTTCAAGCAACTATCCTCTTTGTCCCTTAGAAAGTAAAAAGAAGTTACTATCTTTTATACTTGGTATTATTTTTATATGTGAGTACTTAAATTAATTTTTGAATTTAATTAGGTTCCCCCATAACTTTGTAATTATGCTTATGTCCTCACACATGTGACCCACCCATAATTTTCACTTTCGATCATGAGCAACTACAAGCTAAGGTGTCAACTTTTTTAAGCGATGGATGGGATATGATTATAGTCATTATACCATTGTAATTTGAAAAGTAGACTCTTTTAATTATTTTGGCTAAAAGATTTGATGTTGATGCATGCAGGCCAAAGAGAGGTTGCAAAAGATGATAAGAAAGATAATTACAGAGAGGTTAAGCAATAAAACTCATGACACCAACAACTTAAGTGCAACCATCTATGGGAGTGACGCTATTGACGTATTGTTACGTGATATCGATGACCGAAGTGAAGCTGATCAATGTCAACCATTGGACTTTATCGCCGGAAATATAATCGAGATGATGGTTCCGGGAGAGGACTCGGTGCCAATGGTGATGACCCTAGCCGTCAAATACCTCAGTGACAACCCCGTTGCTTTGAAACACCTTGTGGTAAGCTAAGTGTGTCATGAAATCATTATTATTCAGTCACTTGTAGGTTTATTCCTATTAAACTTTTGCATGCAAATTGGACAACCCTAATTTCGGTGACTTAACATGTGGTGTGGAGTATAAGGTTTTCCCAACAACTTCTACTTAATTTCGTTCTAGCTTAATACTAAATTACTTAATTCTATAACCTTATCATTATTGGAATTATTTTCCTAGTAATCTCGAGATTTGATAAATTGTTGTATATAATACACCCGTTATATAGTGTTTTATATATACGAGCAATTTATAGAAGACTTAGTGCATATTGTCGGTCACAAGTTGGTGGAGGTAAGCATTAAATAAAATGGGGATGCAATGAGCTGTCGTGATCACGTTTTAAATGTTGGGGGCATATTCATATTGCATGGGCAGTGAACCCCTACCGTCCACGTCTAATATAAAGCCACAAAGAAGCTAAGCTAAGCTACTTACCAAACTTTGACTTCTCATTACTTAATTTCATTTGGCCTTTTTGTTCAAGACACGACCCCTTTGTTCTTCCTTTCCTATGATAACAAATTAATGTCATTTACTTAATTTTACTACACAAGATAGATTAAGGTACGGTTTTGTAAGAAGACGTTTCTAATCTCTTTAATTTCTCTATCTTACCTTAAAAAAAAAAAAAAAAAAAAAAAAAACATTTGCTTTCCCTTTTGTGGATCCTCCTACACGTGGAATTGTGATCAGCTTAGGGCCAAACAAATTGGATAAGTATAAGGTATTTTAAGGTAAGATACATGAGTATATTATACATGAGGCCTTGCCTGTAATTATAATATTACTGTTTTTGTGGGGAAGTAGGATGAGAACATGGAATTGATGAGCCGGAAGGCTAATTCAGGGAACTCCTATGCATGGACTGACTACATGTCTTTGACGTTCACCCAAAATGTGAGTTGTGAGTTGATTTTTGATTGTGTACATTAATTTTCACGCAACAAATTTGCTTTTGTACTTGATAATTCTAACTATGTTCGTTTATGCTCCTAATAGGTAATTAGTGAAACACTAAGAATGGCAAATATCATAAATGCAATTTGGAGACAAGCCACTGAAGATGTAGAAATTAAAGGTTAGTTTTAAAGCGTGTAGAAAACTACTTTCAAAGTGGCACCTTATTTCGATCTATTGATAGTAGAAAAATAAGTAACGAGTATGCATGATATACTAATTTGCAGGTTATTTGATACCAAAAGGGTGGTGTGTACTAGCATCCTTAACATCAATTCATATGGATGAACAAAATTATGAAAATCCATATGATTTTGATCCTTGGAGATGGGAGGTTAGAAAGTGCATGTTATAGTTTTTGACCAAAACCATCATCCATAATTATAGCATAGCACAAACATGCATGGTCATTATCATCAATCATTGCTTCCCACTAATAATGATTACAGTATTACTTACCAACCCATTACTATCATTATCACCATCAATTCATCATCATTAATTATATTGTAATCTTGATTAATAATTTGGACTTAACTTTCTAACTTTTTAATTTTTATTTACAGAAGAAAGGAATTGTTGCAAGTAGCAATACTTTCTCTCCCTTTGGTGGTGGCCAGAGACTATGCCCTGGTCTTGAATTTTCAAGGCTTGAAATCTCAATATTTCTTCATCATCTTGTTACTACTTATAGGTATTTCTTCTTCTTTCGGACAACAACTTAAGACATTTTATTTGATACTTCTTCACTATATCGATTTTCAATTTGTTTTGTTTTTCTTTTGCATATAATCAACCACTTAATATCATAATTAAGACATTCAAATAAAAATATTACTTGTATTTTGAAACGGATTAAAGTACACGATAACAATGTGCATGAGAACATGTAACATATTATTAACTCCTATAGTAACGTTCATACTTTCTCCGTTCTTTTTTTAATGGAAACCTGACAGATGGGTAGCAGAGAAAGATGAAATAGTATACTTTCCAACAGTGAAGATGAAGCAAAAACTTCCCATCTCTGTTACAAATCATGCATGGATTTGATGATAAAAGTTAGAATCCCCTTTGATGATTTAATTTATCTAATGGAGTCAATGATTACAAGTAGATGCATGAGCCCACCAAAGCTAGCTAGCCAAAAGGACGTCAGCGAGATTATATATAGAGTTATAGATATCCTGATTTTGAATTGGGCCCTTTTACAAACCACAATGTCTTTTTTTTTTTTTTAATTACTTCATGTGGGGATGGTGTAAACTCTATGAAGTGTAAAGTGTGAACTCTCTCGAATTAACATCCATTATCAAAATTCAACACATCAAACCTATCTATGCTTGTAAATTAGTTCATATAATTCCAAGCTTTTTTGTATAATGTATTTGAGAATGATCCTTTGATAGATCTTTACACGAGCGTGTGAATATGCATCTTCAAATGAAGTATTACATGCTATATATGATCGACTTTGGAGATCTAAGCACTTGGATTATTTACGACTTGGCAATATTTATTGAATACAAAAAACAATGATTAGATGTCATCATAGATGCGTTCAACGTTTTGAGAAATTTTACATGTAGTACATTTGTTAATTATGGGTTCAAAATGTTTAGATTGAGTACAAGGAGCAAAATATTTGGTACTTCCTAAACATTGCATAAAATAATTTGATTAGCTATGTTATGTATGGTCGAAGTGGAGTGTGGTCTCAACTCTGAAGGGATATGCATGAGTTTGTTAGGTTAGTGCATTTTTGGTGTCGGGCAATTCTCCTTAAACGTACTCAAGGACAGAAATTTCTTCCTAGCGCACTACCAAAGTTACTGTCAACCTAAGGAAGAAAATATTGAACGTCAGATTGCCAAAAGAAAGACAATAATTTGTTAAAAGCTTCCACACGTGTTCTTAATTAGTGGATTTCAGGGCCCACTGAAAAGGGCCTGGAATCACAGTACATTTGATCGTACTATTATGGATCATATGATCCAACGATTCATGAAAGAAGCTGATAACGAAAATGAAATACTCTGTAAAATGGAAGGTTAAAAAAAAAAATGGAGTTTTTTCATTTGTCATTGTCAGAACTTTAATGGTTGGCCAGTCTTGGCACCGTATAGCCATATTTATACCATAACTGTCAAATCCACGATAAAAGATTAAAAGTATTCGCCCTCATCTATGAAAAAGTTAGATATGGGCTATAGCTATAGCCTGGATGTTGACACCTATATGTAGGCTTATTAGTGAAATATAGAGGTGGCTATTCAATTGTTCGGGTCGGGTTGTTTTTGGGTAAGACTTGTATGGAAAAAATGGTCCATTTTAATCGGTGTAGTAAAAAATTAAAGATCCTTTTTTTACCTTTGTGTCGATGAATATAGATATATAACATAGGCTAGGATTTTAGGATTAATATTCATCATATACAACCAAAAATATAATATACTCCGTATTAACATGGTTTAAAATTTCAGGATCACTACATCTTATGTGGTCTCAAGACTCTCAACCAATTGATACTCAAATAATGTACTGTTTGTTAATAGAATTGAAATAAATTCTAGAATGTTGTTATAGTAGTATTTAGAATATGGTGACTTATTAACAATTAAGAATATCTTTAATTAACTCATGATACTCTATAAAGTTTATACTCGGTAGTAATTAAAAAAAAAATGCCATAATCTTTTCATTAAAAGAAAAAGGAGTTTAATTTCACTTTAAAAATAATAGTCATGCACAAATTAGAATAGATGAAATTGAACGAATTCTACCCTTCACCCCATTTAAAAAATAAAAAGGGAAATTCTCACTAGTAATCACGAACTTCTATTTTTTCTCAGTGGTAAACTCTTAAACTTTTGTTTATCAATAGTAATCACGAAATAGTAATAATAAGTCAATGGTAACATTAATGATAATGAAATATCAATAAACAACTAATCAGAGTTAATCTTGGTTAAATAACAATGGATTTACATTAATACCTTTTAAATTATTTTTTAAAAAAGACAAAAAAAAAAAAAAAAAAATTAAAATCCCTCCCCACCTACCCAGCCAACCCGTCTCCCCTTGCCGGCGCTTGAGACCCCCACCACCGACACCTCAATCCGGACAAGCACCGAAACTACTTAAGCCAAAGCTAGCAGTCATCACCAATAAAACACTAGTATTATGCAATGCCAATCAAACACCTAAACTAATGATAAATCAGAGCACCAATGACCAATCCTCCCATGTTTGAATGTACAATTCAGTAATTGATTTATGTTTATAATTGTTTAAATACAATAGTCTCATATAAACTTAAAACTAAGAATATTATGAGATTTTCAATCTAATTGAACCCTAAAATATTCAACTAACATTGCCCCCAAATCATCCCGCCAAACCCGACCCAAAACCCAATCCATCAACCCCATCTGGCGACCCACCCTCCCTATCCTCTCATCACCACCGAAATTACAAAAACCAAATCAACAACAACAACACGTCGACGGCGGCAGAGGAGGTCAATTTGATATGAATAACTTCTTCTAACACCCTGGAATTTGAGTATGAGTGAGGCTGCATTGTGTTACGAAGGGAGAAATGTATAGATTTAAGTTGTTTTGAGGGAGTTTGTGGGGTTTTTATTTTGTATTTTGACGGAGAATGATAGGGAATGAGGGGAAACAAGTGAGGCAGGGGCGGGGGATGCGGGGAAAAGAGGTGGGCTGGGGTGGGGGATGCGGAGAAGTGAAGTGGTAGCGACGACGTGTTAGGAAGGGCGTCGGTAGGGGCTGGAGATGCTACAAAGGGAGGTGCAATAATGGAGGAGGAAAAAGAAAGGAAGTGTAAAGAGAAAGGAAGAAGAAAGAATTGGTTGGGATTGATTCAAACAAGGGTAGTTATGTCTTTTAGCAGTCAAATAGCTTAATCATGGTTAAGTAATTAACAAATTGTTTAACTTAAGTTACCATTGGCTTAGTATTATTATATCGTGATTACCATTGATAAACAAAAGTTTCAAAGTTTATCAATGAGAAAAAATAAAAGTTCATGATTATGGGGAGAATTTCCCAAATAAAAAAAAAAAAAAAAAAAAAATCCACAATGACACGCTGTAGAGGCCCAAAAAAATTCCACAATGCCCAACATCTGAAAAGGCCCGCCCAACAGCAGCAAAAGTAAAGCCCAGTAATAGAAGTGCGCTTATATTATATACCAGTAGTTTGTTTGGGGGATACAATTGCATTACCATGGATATTAGGATGATATGATTACATTCTAGTATCCATTTAAAATTCATTTACAAATGGTCCTTTGTTTTGTTATGATGAAGCAATTACAATTCGATGATCTGTGGACTGTTAATACTTTTAATTAACAAACTGTAACTTTAGTTGATGATAATGAACACGTACTGTTATGCCATGAAGTGGTTACAATACGGTTCACCTTACTATATAAAACACTTAAACTTGCTCATCTTACAAAACTTGCATGAGCCTTCAGCTTTTGTAAACCTACCCATGAACAAATATAGACGAAGAGCGATGATTTGAGTCCCAGATACATGCACAAAAGCTGCATCATTTGGCACCCAGCCATTGGGTTAAGGCAGCTGCATAGTCTTTCCAAGTCGCACCACGGTCTCCGTTAGACCCAGGCAGCCAGCACCATTTCCTCATGTGAGGGAATTGAATGATCTCATGAATCATGACTACAGCCAACACCATATTCTCATCTTTTGCTTGTAAAACCATATACTGGAGTGAGTGTTGCGAGAAGTTTTTGGAAGAAATTTCTCATATTTCCATAAGCTATCCTTATACAGAGCCTTCAGACACGGTATATCCCACGAATGCATACAATGTTGTCCTGGAGTCTACTAGCATACAACTTAAGGCCAGCAGTGGACAAAATTTGGACATATAAAAATTACGCAATATTTTGCCTTGGAAAACTGAGTCTATGATTCAAAGAAAGTATCCAGAGCTGTATTGCTTACATCTTCTACATTGCCATGAAAATAGATCTTGTTTTCATTAAACAATGACAGCAAATGCAATAGTTCCTCAATAGATATCTTTAAAGGTCTCTTGTCTTCAAACCCACTAGTTCTGAGAATTTTGATTACCTTTTCTTTGAATAATGAGACTGCCGTTTCTAAAGATGGAGTAGAATTACCCATAGGATCATTTAGCACTTCAACACCTTCTGCATCTTCGTATTTATCACTGCTTTCAGAAGAAGGGTGAAGCATTGGAGTTTCTTTGCTCACGCCCATAAAGCAAGATATTCTCATCAGCTCGTTTAGCTTCTTCTTTTGCTTGAATGTAGCACCTAATGTCTTATTTTTCTTACTAAAGCAAGTCCTCGTAAATGCACACCATTCATTCAAATCAACTTGAGGGGCGTCCACCTTTGGTCTGATTATAACAATGGACGAGTCAACTTTAGGAACAGGAAAAAAGTCCCTTTTGCTTACATTCATAACATGTTCCACTGCTGCGACCAGTTTCACGTTTACTGCTAAACGATTGAACTCTGAATCCCCTGGATTAGCTAATAAGCGACATGCAAACTCTTTCTGAAGCAGAAGCGTGGCACTCCTAAAGGGGCAAGTTCCAAACAGCAATTTAGCAATCAGAGGTGAAGAAATTCCGTAAGGAATATTTGCCACTACCAGATCAAAATGAGGAAACTCTGTCTTCATTGCATCTTCACGTATTAGCTGCAAAACTGATCTATGTGAGCTAATGCGTAAAAAAAATTGCTAGTTTGACAAGGACTTTAGAATGCTCCACAAAAATCATAAATAATTTGACATTTTTCTGTCTTACAGTTAAACGATCTTCAAGCCCATATTCAGCTACTCGCTTTTGAAGTGCTTCAGCCATCCTTTTGTCAATCTCAATAGCCACAACCTTACTGGCAGCTTGTAGAAGTCTCAGGGTCAGATTTCCAGTACCAGGACCAATTTCTAAAACTGTGTCAGTGGCCTTGATATTAGAGCTTTTCACAATGGAATCAAGAACCCGTCCACTAGTCAGAAGATGTTGACCCTTGCTTTTATATAGTTGGAAATGGCATTCAGCATTTTCTTTAGTAGTTTGAAACTTATCAACAGTATCATCAATACTGCCATGTTTTGAGATATGATTATGATAAAGCTTGCAGTCAAGTGCACGAAGCAACTGCTGGCAGTGCAGAACAAAGATATTGCGCGAAAACCAGGGGAACTTTGGTTGCTGAAGCATTATGTCCTTACCTAATTACTTCTGCAACTGATTTTATTATCAGGCTATAGCAAACTGCACGAGTTGGAAAGCCTTCTATAATGTCAGATAACCCAAACATACAAACTCCACTTATGCATCATATAAAACTAATGTCATGTAAAAACATATTTCTCATAAATTTGCTTTCAAAGCAGCACATCCAGTAGTCATAAACATAAAACCATTGTGCAATTCGACTAGGTTTCAGATTCATAAGAATTATCAATAAGTAACATGCACATATATCAATACCAAGCTCCTACATAGTACATTAGCACGATGGAATTGTCGTCTGGGAAACGGTGTAGGTGATTGCAATCTTAAACAATAGACATCATGCCTACCTAATTGCAGTCACCATAAAATAGTACAAAACTACAAATACCATGATTCCTAACAGAAATGAATGCAGTATTAAACAGTAAATAGTGATGTTTCAAACATACATATTACTGCATTATCAAATAGTATCAAACTTGGAGGATTTAGACTGTATAGCTAACACCTTGTGCACAAACGTGAAATACAAGAACATTCCATTTAAGTCATACCAAAATAAATTACCAAAATCAGAGCCATTTAAGTATTCATACCCAGAAATATGTTAATAATGCTTTCTTCAACTAACATTGATAGTGAAGGATCTTAAATATTAGTTACAAAAGTAGTGTCGTGTAATTATTGGAATGGTAAGATGTGAATGTTGCTATAAGAATATAATGAATTCGGATGGTTGCAACATAGTTGCCAACATCTGGGAATATACTCAAATAAGGGTAATAAAACAAGAAGATGATAAACTGAGCTAAACATTTCATCAAACAGGTTGTGTGCATAAATAAAAGTATCACTAGATAGAGTACTCATTATAATGGCTGCAATTATGAAGCGTAGTTCTCTAAGCTAAACAATTCATCGAACACGTTGTGTGCAAAAACGATATAGATTGCCAAAGTAACTTACACTCTAACATCATGAATCTTAGGTTAATTTATAATTGTGTTGTTGCATTCTAATTGACGATTAAAAAAGGGTATATATTACGGGTAAGCAACAAGCAATAATAAGTCGCAATAAATAGAGAGAAAAGAAATGTACTTTACTCGCATATAAGCTCACACTAGCTGTCTTAGTTTCTTGGACTTCTGGGCTTGGAAGTTTTGTGATGAATCAGCTTTTTAAATGTCAATCACTCAATAATCTACTTTATATTAGGTTAGATCCCGTGTCATGCACGATGATCTTTATATATAGTTATATATTATTGATTGAGAAATATTAGAATTATAAATTAGTCAAGAAACAATAAAAGTATGTGATATGTTAATTTGATATTTGCAATTTTAATTGTAGCTTCCAATACACAACCAAAACAAAGTAGGCAAAAAAACTGACCAATATATATATATATATATATATGTTTTATTGTAAAATAGGTCACTAATTATTTAAAAATATTTATTTTTGGTATATATTGCCCAATATTTTTTGGAAAGATTTGTGAATAAATCTTTTATTTAAAATATAATAATTATAACATGTAAGTAGGGAATATGTACAAAAAAAATATGATTTTTGTAAATGATTTGTTTCCTTAATTAAAATATTTTTTTAAAAAAAAATAACTGAGGACACACCAGGAGATGACACGTGTCATCGCTGGTGTGTCTTTTAGTATATAGTATTGATTGGAGGGTGTCTTGTCTTTGTGTAATTTTTTTGAGTCTATCTCATCGTCTCATCACCTTATTAGAGGTTTCTTTCGAAATTGAATCAACTTGGAAAAAAAATTCATAGAGATTATTACTTCTTGTGTACTTATGCGTGCATATTCTTAAGTCTTGTCGTAGTTTAATTAAGTCTTTTTGTTGTAACTTTAAATTTGTTCATAGGGAGGGTAATAAGGTGGCGGATTCTCTAGCTAATGTGGGGGTTTGTTAGGAATATAGGAAAATATATTATTGTGATATATTTTCCATATAAATCTCATAATATTATATTTAGGATTATAATATATGTTAGTGATATTCTAAGATAGATTTATGGAAGTTTATATGATAGAATTTATATTGTGTAAGTTATATTTTGTAGACTATAAATAATAGCCAAGATCATCAATACAATTCAACCTATTCTCTCAGAAATAATTTAGCCGGGTTCTTCTCAAAGATAGGATCGTTTATTTCAATACTCCTTCAATCAAAATAAAAGCCGTCTTTAGGAGGACATCATTAGAGTAGCTGAATCTCGGTTTTTAAGGTAGTAATGTATTTTGTTTTTGTTTTAGGGCTTGGCCCTCATTTGCATCAATAATAATAAATAAAAATAATTGAATTAGGGTCTGTTCACATTTACTTAATTTCAGTACAGTTTAGTTTAGTTCAGTTCCAATCAGTTCAGTTCAGTTCAGCTCCTAATTTCCCTCTCTCATAAAATATTCATTTCAACTCAATTTAGTTAAGTTCAGCTCCAATCAGTTCAGTTCAGTAAATGTGAATAGGCCCTTAATATCATTTTTACTCGGTACAAAAAATGATTCAATTTGACATTTGGCTAATTTTGATTCAAGCTAGTACGTTAAGTGCCAGTGGATTTAAATCGAATAATTAAGGGTCTGTTCTCTTACGTTGAATTCAGTTCAGTTCAATTCAATTCAGTTCAGTTCAGTTCAGTTCAGTTCAGCTCTTAATTTCCTTCTCTTATAAAATATTCATTTCAATTCAGCTCGGTTCAGTTCAGTTCAGCTGAGTTCAGTCAATGAGTACAGGCCCTAAGTATCGGTAATATTTTTTTATTTTTTTTGAAAACAAGTATCGATAATACTTGATATGACTACTCTTAGCTCTTTTCCTCAATGAGTAAATTTGACTCTATTGTTGCATCATGTGAGGATATCCTGAAACAACTCTATCAAGATTGGGACAGACATAACACAATTGAAAGAATAAATTAAGTTGTTAAACAAGCTAATTTAAGCAAATATTTGCTTTATATAACGATTATAATTATGATTCCAACATGCCCTAAATATCGGAATCATTCCTACTAGATCAAATAACGTACTCTTCGTTGGAAATGATTGGATGGACCGTTAATATACATCTAAACCTTAAAAATACAGCAACCAATTGCAAATCAAAGCATGGTCAAAAAAGTCAATAGTTGCCAATAATTTCTTAAAGTCGTTATTGGTAGTTAGCTTAATTATCAATATATAAAAGGATCTATTGTACCTTTTAGGTATATATATTATCCTTAGTATTATGTGTATTATAGTAATGATTTTGTTATATAACCCTAAAATATATAAAAATAGATTTGGAACATGTATAATTTAGCATGCATGTTGAGCTTTTCAATAGCACCAACATAACAACATGATGTTAATTAGTTCATCCTTCATTTAATTTTGACGGGAATCGTTCATCCTTTCTAAAACCTCTTTCTTGTTCGATTGATTCTTATTATATTGTAATTACTCTAATTAGATTAGTGTTGAGAAGTTGCCTTGTTATATCATTTAAAATTTTAAATTAAATGCATATTTTCTTCACCTTAAAAAAATAATACTATTAACTAAAAATAATTTCAGTTCAGTAAAAATAATTTCAATTCAATAAAATTAATTTCAGTTCAGTAAAAATAATTTTAGTTCAGTAAAAATAAGTTCAGTTCAGTAAAATTTAGTTTTCTTAAAGATGAATTATAATAGAAAATCAGTAAAAATAATTTCAGTTCAGTAAAAATAATTTAAGTTCAGTAAAAATAATTTCAATTCAGTAAAATTAAGTTCAGTTCGGTAAAAATAAGTTCAGTTCAGTAAAAATAATTTCAGTAGTTCAGCAAAATTAAGGTGAATCAAAAGGGCCTAAGTATGTATAGCAACATATGATAATATTATGATAGATTTTGTTTTTCCTTTATTTTTTTGGCAAAAAACTATAAAAAATAAGTAAAATAAAAGGTCATCTTGGGAATGTGTCGTTGAATCTATTGGTAAACACCTATCGCATGATTTCTTATATCTGCCTATTATACAGTCCTAAATAATATTAAAATTATAATAAATCAGAGTAGTTTCTTAATACTACGCACATTAATATATACTTTATGTACGTCTAATCCTTAATTATGAAGGGTGGGAATAATAGTGTGATTACGGTTTGAAAGAAGGAGTACATAGATAGTGTTGCGTGGGACATGAATGTCCAAGAACGTAACTCGTATAATGAATGCAAAGAGATGCAGCCTAAAAAGCATGCGAAGCAAGTAAGACAAGCTTGTGGACAGAGCAATGATAATGCCAAGGGCGTGAATCTTGATTTTGTTAAAAGTTTTAATAACAGAATTAATTCGATTAATTAGCCATCTCTTGTCCCTTAAACTAACGGAATGAATTTGATAAATTAGGCTTATCTTGTCCCTTAAACTGAACCACTTATTGGATGTTGATGATGATGGTGGTTTATACCCGTAGTCCGTTCCCAAATGATTACTAAAAGTTAAATTATTGTTTTTTTATTTGTAATTGCAAAATAAACGGCTAATTTTTGGAAGTAATCATGATACAAATTACTACAGTTAAAATTAACCCCTGATCAGGAGCCTAGAGTAGGCCTCAATAACCACTTTCTAGCTTCTACTTATGAAAATCTAGATTTTATGAAACTCAATTGATCGAAAAGGTGGATTGGATTAGTAACGGCATAAATTCACTACTACTATGTAATTGACAACGAGGTTAATCATGATATACGGAAACACCCCACCTCTTAAACCCAACATAAATGATATAATTCATGTATAGATATTTCATGGTTCACACTTTTGATCTTATGTAATTATTTAAACAATTCCTCTATACTTGACTAGGTATGCATATTAATTGAATATAAAAGTTGTAAAAAGTAATTGGGTTATGTGATGGTTGTGATGAATGATTTATTGAGTAGTGATTATTTTTCTATACAATAGGAATTATTATAAAAGAAAATGCTATACATAACCCTTAGAGCTACAAATTAGTATTAAAACACTCTTGAAAATTGTTTAAATTTAAAAAGTCATGACAAAGATACACTAATTACACTAATCTACGCGTGTTTTTATCCCGAATTTCTAATTTTATACAATTTTTAAGAGTGTTTTTAATGCTTATACATAGCCTTAAGGGTTATATATAGCATTACCCAATTATAAATAAACGTTCTCCCAGTTATTGAATGTATGCATGCATGCATGCATGGCTAGTTTGGTGAATTTGCTTAGATATATATAATAAATCATTACTTCTATAAATGTGCATATTACGAAGTGTATTAAAAATAACGCGAACTTAACTAACAATCATTTTTGTAATACATTTGTGAATTCATAAAAAAAGGACAACGTACATATGCAACCAACTTTTCTAATCCATCAATAATTCAAATTTCTATTAGTAGTCCATACGGAATACTATTATTCCATTTTAATTTACAATATTAAGGGTATGATGAAACGAGAAGAAAATCAAAATTGCAAAATCTAAGGTAGACGGAAAAGGCTAAAAAATTGGAGGGAATGAAAGGGGTTAAAGATGAAAGAGAGATTCCCATGAAAGGGTTAACGACCTAACTGTAAAAAAAGAAAAGAAAAAGGTGAAAATGAAGTAACGGCCAATTTACAGTTCCCGCCAATTAAGCGAAACACGTGCACCGACGATTAAAATTCCTATGATCCATGATGATCTAGCTGGGTGTCACGTGTCACAAGATGGTTGGACAATCAAGTGATATCTTGACATGTGTGCCTGGGGTGTATTTGTATGAATCTATCCCCATCCTTATGTGAGTTGTTAGAATCCGTACACTTCTCTTCCTCCTCCCTTCCTTGTGCCCTCCATGGCTCCATGTAATGTCCCCCACTTCCTCTATGCTCATTACAACAATAATAAGCATACCATACATTGAATATAAATACTCGTATATAATTATTCCCACCGTATTATCAACAAATTAAACCACTCAAGATTTACAAGATCATTGTGGCAAATAATATAGACTTGCACTAATTCCTAATACATACATGTACATACAATTTAACTTACAACTTACACATAAGTCACACGTATTGATGTCTATACTACTTTGCACTACTTAAATGTTTTGAATAAAATTTACTTGCCTTGTTATTTAAAATCTTTTTGTGAGACATATTAGTCAAATTAGAAATAACTATATGATGAAATGGAAGAAGTATTACATATTCTAATAACATACATGTTATTACACGTATATGTGAGTTTAAAAAAGAGTATGCGAAGAAATAATGTAATAAGAAGTAATAATTAATATAATTATTATTATAAAGCTTGCAATGTTGCTTGCATTGATTTTTTTACCCGGCATAGAGAAACAAATTAAACATGAAATTATGAGATGCTAGTTTGATTGCTAATTAGTTAACACATAGGATCGGTTAAGTAGCAAGTTTATTAGGGTATAATTTATACGAGTATTTGGTTAGGGTAAAAGCTTATTTGAATGGTACGGAGTAGTCCATGAAAAGATGAAAGTATGGAAGGGAATAAAAGACGAAAGCAAGGAAAAGGACAGCCATAAATAATGGGAATTGATATGTATATATATATATATGGACCACCCCACCATAATTATATAATGGGAGTATTATGCATGGTTGTTGTTGTTGTGCATTTACTGAATTTTATGGAATTTTCCTACATACGTGGATCATTATGGGCGCGGATTCAAGGCATTTTGTCTGACCGGCCGGATATTTATACATACAAGTAGTATATATTATGGACATGTAACAACACAAATTAAATAATCTTTCTTTTAATGAAAATAATAGCATGTACTAAGAGATACATACAAAAATACGTTATATATGTACTCATGCAGCAAAAAAAATAAAAAAATATATATATATAGATATACTATATGTCTATATGTGTTTTCGTCTAGCGATCTACTCGTATATCATGATTCGTGACAATAATAAGGCCAGAGTGATGAAAACCATAATTGTGGCTTGTTTGCAAGTGCACTAATTAATGGCAAACAGATTAATTTGCTGCTGAAAGTTGGTATCTATTATTAAGACTTTAATTTTGTAATGAAAGCGTGGCAAAATATAATAAAATTGATTGCACAAACCATAATAAAGCATTGCTGAAATAAATCTAATTATCAACTGCCCGAGATTTTGGGATTGAGCAGTATTTGTATATCCCCAGTCCTCGGATTAGTTATGCTTGTGTGCATGCATCCATATCACTAAATGCTTACCTCTATTGTTAAACTTATACAAATTCTGAAATGGAGTTTATAAGTTTATTTACTACTTTAACAATACATATTGCAGAGTAGTAATATAAGTTGGGAAAATTGTAAAATTTTTTTACGGAGTATAAAATAAAGTTGAATTCCATTACTTTCTTTCTCCCTACTTGTTTTACCTTATTTATTTGAGTAGTGAAAATGTACATACTGTATTATGAATTAAATAAAAATAATAGTTTTGAAACGACTTATAATGAAATATATATAGGATATTTTTAAACTGAGGGGAAAATATATGTGCATCTACCTTAGCTTCAATTTTGTTAGATAGTTTAAGATCCTGTCTAAGTAGTTAGTCTAGTACAAGCATCACATCACCTTGGATCTGGTTCTAGAAACAAATGTTAGGTATAGATTAAGACAGTTTCAACTGCGTCATTACGTCAAGTACTCGAGTATTATTCATGAATTAATTAATTATCCATTAGTTTTGAAACTTGGGTTGAGCATCGAGATTATTTTTTTTGTAATGATTTAAATGAAAGAGTAGCATGGACAAATGGACAATATTGTAAACGGTATTCAATCGTAAGTGGTGACTATTACGTAGTATTTGTGTATATGTGAGTAATATTTGAGACCTAAAATAATAATATTTACATTGTGTATATATATGAGTAATATTGATTGAGACCTAAAATAATAATATTTACATCATTATTACTGCATGTACTTGATCTGATATAGTTTTTGAAACATAGATTATGTGCCCCTCATCAAAAGGTTTAAAAAATAAATTAATACTCCATAATATATAAAGAAATTAGTTCCTTAAATGTAAATTTACACTCTCTAACTGTCTCGACCTCTCATAACTAAGGACAATAAATAGTTATATTAATTAGATCATACTCTGACTCTCCGCCCCTTAATGATAATTTTTTACGGAAAGTAATAACATTAATAAGTAGTAAAAGTAAATTAAAAAAGTAAATTTACATAAGGTATGTTGTAATTTATAAATTCGGTTACGCGATAGAATTGAGTAAATTTGCGTCGGTGGGCATGAGAAGGCTTGTATACTGGAATGGTACAACACATGTAGAAATAGTTGGGTTAGTACTAGAATGGTACTACTGTAGAAGCGAAGTGGTAAGCGTACAAGTGAAACACTTGTAGATGTAGTGATGATTTAGGAAGAGAGAAGTGAGCTGACTCCCAGAAAACAAATCCTTAATTACCGCTTTGTTGGTGAAGTGGGTGCCCCTCAACGGCTAATTTAATAATTAAGCAGGCCATATAGGCTCTTAAAATCAACGAACTTACTAACAACTACTTCTTAATTGATGCCTTCCCAATTTTCCCCGTTGATTCCGCCGTTATCAAAGTAAAGCAAATTTTAAGGGGAAAAAAATAGGATCAACAATTAAAAAAATATTGAAAAGTAAACATACACTATATCTGTAAACACCACTTATAGCTTAGATTGACCACTATCAACATTAAGCATTGTCACAATTGCTTTGCATGTGGAGGCCTCTTTATATTGCGGGGCTTCTTCTTCACATTTCCGTACATTGTAAATAAATACTTCTTTTTTCTTACTAGTATTTTTTTTATCCATATGTTATTAGCTTTTTCATTGTTGCTTGTACTATGTTTTTAATTTGGGTTGCTTAATAAATTTATTAGTAACTCATACTCCATTAGTGTATGTTTGATTGTTTGGTATTAAAAGCTATGATCAACATGCATTACCTTAACTACCCAACCTTTAGGCAGCAAATTAGTGGACATTAGAAAATGAAGTATCACACTTGTAAGTTGTAATATATTGTATAGACTATAGACCAATAGACCCCTTGTTCTAAATGATATGATGTGATTTTACAAAGGACATTACGTAACCTTATTGATCAATTTAAGTACATTAGAAAATACTACAAAGTACTTGGTATAACACACACCAATCACCCCATCAACAAAATACGAGTATATTATACCTGGCCCGGCGCAGGAAATCAAACAGGTACCGAGAATTGTTATAGAAGCAGCGTGGATATAGCTTGAGGAAGGCAAGCAGAGCTTATACATTTGGCGGCATCCCAAGGCAATTAGCAAATAAAACAAATTCCTCTTTCTAGTTAATCTTCTCTGCTTTCGCTCTTCTTTTTATCTTTTTAATACAAAGTAGAATAATCTGCTTTTCCTCTTTGAACGAGTAACTGTTTACTCCGTATCTTTTAATCAATTTCCTCGTTAGTTGACTAATCAAAAGCTGTAACTCCTCTCACGTTTATTCCTTTAAAAGCTGCATTCATTTTACATTTTCATAACATACAAAGATTCGGACACTAGATTGCTAACTACAGTATTAACTCTGCTTGCTCTATATCAAAATTTGAGAATTGAAATCCTTATATAATTTAATTTCCAAGAATTACTTATTGGGACTTGGGAGCATCTGTAATGAGTTATTGAGTATTTACCTTAATCTTGGATAATCTTTACGTACGCTTATTATTGTATCCAGATTCCAGACTAAAATACTCTGTATTGCTTTTCATTTTGTTTTACAATTTTTAGTAAGTGGTGTAGTGTGATGAAAGAAATAAGGTTTGATTGAATTGCTAAAAATGAATACATGGAGTTACTAATGGGTACTGGGTACCAATTATGTACACCTACAAATACTAGTGATGATTATACATAAATGAGATTACTAATAATCAATCAACTTACACTTACACTTACAGTCAATATTAATTGATCATTTGAAGTGCACTTTTTCATTGGCTTAATTTCAACAAGATTAATGAATATGAGGTAAGACGTTAGTATCCAAATCCTAGACCTCTAAGATATGAGGTAACACGTTACAACATGGAGTGATTGGCATCAATATATGAAGTAATCCATAGTGCATACATAACATGAGGCCAGGACGATTCATTTTTTGTAATCTTAATTTCCTGGAAACTCAACCCTTAGACGTAAACGTATACAAGCGTAAAGCAAAACTCATTCAGCCGATATTTCAGGGAAAAAAGAAAGAGAAAAAAAAAACCCCCTTAAATTGAGAGATTTGTTGGCAATCGTACTGATCAATTAATGGGTAAACTCTTGATTAACATGATCACGGACAGCCTAATCCTTATTTAATTAAAGCAACTGGGCAACAAAAATTATGCAGATAATTAGTGAAGCAACCCTGTTGTAAGCTGTAATAGCATCTCTTACTTATCTAAGGAAACTACAAGGTAACCTCACCATTTATTAGCAGCAATCAACAATTAATACAATATTACGTGCACATTTTATAATATTAACAGCGAATAATCTTGGATGATCTATATAGTCAGCAACCTCAATACAAAAATAATATTCTTGATCTAATTACATCTCAGGTATTCCCCACCCTTAAATTGACCTACTGAAGAAATGACTTCATAGAACAAGTTTCGTGTATTACAATACTAATCTTGTACTTAAAATTCGTAGGTAGAAGCCGTCGAACTCATGAACAAGCTTTATTGTGTACTCGTAGAAATTATGTTGATAAATAATAATTGCTCGTATTTAAAAAAAAAAATACAAATACAAAGTACATGTATAAGAATTTTTATAAAAAGAAAAAAGTAGTCCGTATATGAGTGATTTTGGGAGTGATACATGAAAGTGAGATCCCTGTCACAAGGAAAAAAAAAGGTGGGGTCAAGGACTCAGGTCTAAATCTTGGTTTGACTAAACAAATTTTAAAGCGTACTTAAGCTAATGTTATTTTATACTCCGCAAATTTTGACAGCAAAGTGGACCGGATTTAATGCACTTTTATGTCAGTATTTTCTTGCTTCTAATTTTCTTCCTTTTTTTATTTTTTATTAAAAAAAAAATGAATACAGAGCATAGTGATGGAACGCATTGACATAAGTGAAAAATGCAAAGCTATATGAAACGTGAGAGTGTGTTTATATATACCAAACTCATTTTGCTACTCCCAAATGCCAATACCCATTTTTAGGAGAGAGAAAAATGGGGTGTTTGTAGTGTTATTGACAGTCTCAGCCAAACCAAACCGCAAAATACATTCCCATTTGGTTTCCCTCTACTACTTTCTCTCTCTCTAAAATGGAAAAGATGAAAACTTTGGTGTTTTTGTGGGTGTTAATTCTGTTTATGAATGCTAAATGTATGCAATGCAGTGTTGGTTATGACAGGAAAGCTCTTTTAATTAATGGCCAAAGAAGAATTTTGATGTCTGGTTCTATACATTATCCCAGAAGCACTCCTGATGTATGTATTATTGTTTTTACTCTTTTATTTTATATGTTTTAATTGTATCTATGTGATTTTAGTTTCTGGGTTTATCCTGAATTTTACTTTAAATGTGATATAGATGTGGGAAGATCTGATAGAGAAGGCCAAAGATGGAGGGTTGGATGTCATTGATACCTATGTCTTTTGGAATGGTCATGAGCCTTCTCCTGCCAATGTACTCCACTTCTGTCCTCACTTTTTTTTTTTTTTTTTTTTATGTAATTAATATATCACTTGTTTATTATTGTTGTTCTTATTTTGATTTTATTTTTTGGTTGGACAATTTCAGTACAATTTTGAAGGAAGATATGATTTGGTTAGATTCTTAAAGATTGTTCAGAAAGCTGGACTCTATGCTCATCTCAGACTCGGACCTTATGTCTGTGCTGAGTGGAATTTCGGGTAACTGTTATTACTTTTATTAATTAACCGAATGTCATTATGTGTATAGTGTATTAAATTAAATTAAAATCTAATTATTTTTAATGGAGTGAGTAAGAATTGGATGAAAGAAAGGAAAAGGGTGTAAATTTGGAATATTCTAATGGATTAAATTTTATGGGTTTTGTAGTGGGTTTCCTGTATGGTTGAAGTATGTACCAGGAATCAGCTTCAGAACTGATAATGAACCTTTCAAGGTTGGAAATCTGAATTTACACTATTGCCTCTCATTTGTGAACTTAATTAAATTGTTGCCAATCTAAGTAGTGTATTAGAACTGCTGATGGAAAATGTGGATTGGGATTATGCAGAGAGCAATGCAAGGATTCACTGAGAAAGTTGTAACCTTGCTGAAGAGTCATAATCTGTTCGAGTCTCAGGGTGGGCCAATTATTCTTGCACAGGTAACGAGTAGTGAATTGAACTCTTGAAATCACTATTGTATGATGTAAATGTCAATGGATGCATCAAGTTTTGATGAAATTTTCGACTCATATTTGAGATGTGTTTGTTCTGTAAGATGGCTTGAATGCTTTATATTATTATTCACTAAAATAACACCATGTCTCTAGGTTGAGAATGAATATGGGAGACTAAGAATGAGACTTGGGCAAGAAGGGAATAACTACATGAACTGGGCTGCAAACATGGTTCAGAGTATGGATACAGGGGTTCCCTGGACCATGTGCAAGGACGATGCTACTCCAGATCCTCTGGTAAGGGCTTCCTTCCAATCACAATCGTAGACTGTTGGTCTAACTTACCGCCTTGTATTTTATGTTGTTTAAAGCATGCCAAATTATGTACAGGCATGATTATTTGTAAAACAATTAAGTTAATTGCTATACGTTCTCATATTGGGCTTTTCACTTGTGTGTGTTGCTTGCTGAGGCAGATAAACACTTGCAATGGTTTCTACTGCGATAATTTTACACCTAACAGACCATTTAAGCCCAAGCTCTGGACTGAGGCTTGGACTGGCTGGTATGGTTCCCTCTAATTCTTCGAATTTGAACATTTACCATATGCTGAGAATTTGACGAGGTTATTCTCTGTTTATACCATCTTGAGCAGGTTTACCGAGTTTGGAGGACCCAAACACCAAAGACCAGTAGAAGATTTGGCCTTTTCTGTTGCTAGGTTCATACAGACAGGGGGATCCTTTGTCAACTACTACATGGTACACTTCTTTTACAGAGTGAATTTCCGATCATCCAATGTTTTACCAATCCTCGATGAAACTTTGCTAACAAATATCATGTCAAACAGTACCATGGTGGGACAAACTTCGGGCGAACAGCTGGAGGTCCATTTATCACTACTTCTTACGACTATGATGCTCCTCTTGATGAATATGGTAAGAGTTGAAGAGCTTTGCTATATAGAGTAGTTTGTAAGAAGACCTTCGGATATCCTACATTGTTTTGATTATTAATATCAGTATTTGTACAAACTACTAAGAAGGGGACAGGCGAATATAAATGCAACTCTTTTTCTGCATATAGGTTTGATCAGGCAGCCAAAATACGGTCACCTAAAGGAACTTCATAAGGCAATTAAGCTATGTGAGTCAGCTCTGGTTTCGTCTGATCCTGTAGTTACTCAGTTGGGGGATCATCAACAGGTTTCACCTCCACCTACAGCAACTAGAAAACTTATTTTTTTTGGTTTTATATACTGCTTATACCTTATACTGATATAAAGTAATAAAGTATAAACCTCTATATATATTTTCAGGCTCATGTATTTTTCCCGGAAAAAGGAGGCTGTGCAGCTTTTCTATCAAACTATGATACGGAATCTGGTGTGAGAGTTCTGTTCAATAATAAACACTACACCTTGCCTCCCTGGTCCATTAGCATTCTTCCAGATTGCAAAAATGTAGTTTTCAACACTGCAAAGGTAAGTCCACTGGAGGCTCATAAGATCCTGACAAAATGCTTTATTCATTAGTCAACTTCCTCTAAGGTGATGATTTAGAGTGAGGAGGTAACTGTCTTGTTGCTCATAACTAACAGGTAGGAGAACAAACATCGCATATGGAAATGCTTCCGAGCAACACAAAAATATTCCCATGGGAAAGCTATAATGAAGATGCATCAGCTCTAGATGACGGGTCAAGCTCAACCGTAACGGCTGTTGGTCTCTTAGAGCAGATAAACATGACCAGGGATAGTACTGATTATCTTTGGTACAAAACTAGGTATACATGATACATATTACTTGGCCTATTTTTATGGGATTAAAATTTTCTCCAACCATAATCATTAATCAAGTATTCAAACTTCAAGTTTTAATGTGTCTTTTGCTTTAATTGGTGCTCTTGCAGTGTTGAAATCAATCCATCAGAGTCCTTTTTTCGTGGCGGGGAACTCCCAACACTCATAGTAAGATCTACAGGGCATGCTGTTCATGTTTTTGTAAACGGACAGCTTATAGGTACTGCATACTCAATATGTTTTGTGGAAACAGCTCTTCAGTAATAGTTTCGACTTCTTTTATCCTGATACAATCATTGACGATCACTTGCAGGATCTGCCTTTGGGGAAAGGAAGAATAGAAGATTCATCTTCAGCAAAAAAGTGAATCTACAGACAGGAACAAACAAAATTGCACTCCTGAGCATAGCCGTTGGTTTACCAGTATGCATTCCTCTAGCGTTCTGCTTCTCATACTGTAAAGAAAAATTTGTACCTGCTACAGGATTATTTATTATTCACATACTAAAAAATAATTGTGTTTGATTGCTGAAGAATGTGGGAGGACATTTTGAGTCTTGGGAAACAGGTATCCTAGGCCCCGTTGTATTACAAGGCCTTGGTCAGGGAAAACTAGACCTATCATGGGAGAAATGGACCTATCAGGTGATTAGTTGTACTACGATACTTACCATTATGTTCCATTGAACTTTTTTGGTATTTTTAGTAATGCTAACCATCTTCTTTCAGGTTGGCCTAAAGGGGGAGTCCATGAATCTAGCTTCTCCAAATGGTATATCCACGGTAGAATGGATGGACAGTAAAATAGCTGTCCAAGACCAGCAGCCATTGATGTGGCACAAGGTACATGGATTTTTGCTTTTCTGTTCATTCCAGTTCTCATTGACATTGGTGTCTTAAACTCTAATTTTTTCACAACTGGGAAATTGTAGGCTTACTTCGATGCACCTGAAGGAAATGAGCCATTGGCTTTGGACATGGAAAGCATGGGGAAGGGTCAAGTGTGGATCAACGGGGAAAGCATTGGAAGATATTGGACAGCTTATGCTAGTGGTGAATGTAAGGGATGCAGCTATACTGGAAGATTTGATCCTCCCAAGTGTCAAGTTGGATGTGGCAAGCCTTCCCAAAGATGGTAACCACCCAAACCAACAAAGCAAGATCCACTTTTCTTCTTAATTATTTTGGAGACAGGATCTTAAGAGCATAATCTAATACAAGATTAACCATGCTATGTATAAAAATATGATTTTGCAGGTATCACGTGCCTCGATCCTGGTTAAAACAAACAAAAAATCTGATCGTTCTCTTTGAGGAAACAGGTGGAGATCCAAGCAAAATTACCCTTATGAAGAGATCAATGAACACAATTTGTGCACAAGTCTCTGAGACTCATCGAACTGTTAAAAGCTTTCAGATTGAAAGCTATGATAGAACACAAGAATTCTACATACCCAAAATCCATTTGCATTGTGCTCCCAGCCAGTACATTTCATCCATCACATTTGCAAGCTTTGGAACTCCTCTTGGAACTTGTGGGAGATTTATGAAAGGTTCTTGCCATGCTTCCACCTCATATGCAGTCTTAGAAAAGGTACTACTGAGAAAAGAATTTTATTTCTTAGGGTTTGATGTCACCATATTGCTCTATTCATGTGTTAAGATATTTGCTTTTCATTTTCTCACAGAAATGCAAAGGGAAGCAAAGTTGTGCAGTAACAGTAACAAACAGCAATTTTGGAAACGATCCTTGTCCAAATGTGTTGAAGCGATTAACAGTTCAAGCAGTCTGCGCTTCCACGGATTTTACAACATCTAACCAAACAAGTATACACTATTGATCACCATGCATGATAGTTTCGACAGAACATACCAGTGAGGAATGAACATTAGTCTCGGAATGTAAGTTTATTACTCGTAGATAGGCTCAAAGTGTAACTGTTTAGAGTTAGATTTTAGACCGTGCTAATCAAAGGGCATTTGGGCGGTTAAACTTAGTTTTATAGTTTGTTTGGTATCCATTCTGTAATTGTAAATTTAGTTTTGTGTAGGTTTAGCAAGTTTGATAATTATGTGGTTTTAGTCTGCTAGCCCCTGGCCATTAAACAGAGGCTAGGAGAGATTATGGTGTGAATTTTTTTAAAAAAAATTTCTTTTGTTTTCTTTTGAGAATGACTATAGAAGTAAAGGATTTTTGTGTGATTACTTTAGTTTTTTGGGAGGTAAGGTAATCACCCCCTCTTCAATTCACAATCATGTCTTCAGAAGTTCTGTAAAAAAAATTGTTTGACACAATTGTTGTCGAAACAATAAAAGCTTTGGCTTTCCATTTATGCTTTGCCAATGTACCGCACATTCTATTGAACGCTGTCTCTAGCTACACATTTATTTGAGCCTTAGATGTGTAAAACTGCAAATATCTTGCACTCCTTAATTCTGCCATTAATGGAGATTTATACAAGGTGATATAAGCAGAGCAGGGCTGGCTACGAACCAACAACGATTTATCTGTGAATAGATAAACACAAAATTCAAAAGGAAATTGTAGAGAAACTATTTTAAATGGATAATATGCTTCTTTTTCAAAACCAAAAAAAAAATGAATAAATAAATAAATCATTGGTAAACAAAATTATTATTATTATTTTTTTTTAAAGAATATCATGTTGTAAATATATATATATATATTTTAAATCCACTGTTTATAATAAGAATTAATCTTCAGTTATGTTACTCCCTTATACCTGTAAAATGGATCCTTAGACCGGCAAATTACGTAAGGTTGGAGTTGAACAACTTCATCAATATAACTAAGTAATGATCAAGTCTTGGGTAAACTCTTACTCGTACTATATAAATAGGCCCTTTGAGACCAAGATTATGATTTATGAGAACGACTTTTGTCTTCAAACTGCTAAATAGTACTCCATATAAATATACATCAAATACGCTCATTAAAATTAACAATCATTAATATCTGAAATTTGAGAGCAAGGTCCAAAGCTAGTTCAAAGAGCAGCAACACATTATTAAGATGTAATATTTCCTGAAACCAGCATAACTACTTTATGATAAGATCTGTTGCTTCATACCAAATAGGCAAATACGTAGTAAACGATAGAAACCCCAACATACAACAATTCAACCAATTAAGCAGTAGAAACATGCTTTGCTATAGTCGCCTCCAGCTCTTCCTTCTTTGCACCCACGACCGTATCAATAATCTTGCCTTCTCGCAGGAACTTGAACGTTGGCATTGCCTCAATAGCCCAATCACTTGCAACTTGCTGTTGAATACACAAAATCAAAACTTAATGGAAGATACATTAGAAACATAAAAATGCAACTTTGAAGAAAAAAGGAGTTTCATTCAAACCTTTAACTCATCCACATCCACCTTAACAAATATGACTTGGGGAAGCTTCTTAGCAAGCTCAGCCAGGAAAGGTGCAATTAAACGGCAAGGTGGACACCATGAAGCAGTGAAATCAACAACCATCTGTGCATTGAAAAACTCATATATGATAAGCACATGTCATTAACATCCAAACTCTTTCAAAAGCCAGAAAAAAAGACAAGCAGAGAGGAAACAAACAAAAATCAAAGACAGATAAATCCTGCCCAACTAGAGTAGTAGGAGAGCTCACAAGAACCCCCATCATTCGAACTTCCACCAGCATTGGTTATTCCTTTCTGAAGAGAAAGAAAGCAATTCATTCAGGTGTGCGTTTTTGAGCCACACGTGAAAGAAAATTTATAGCTCCTATCTTCATCTTTGGGTTATATAGTATTCACTCCCTCAAATTTTGAACAATTAGGAAGTAACAATCGTGAAGGGGAAAATACTCTCCTTTTGGGGATACTAATTATCCTACGTCCCTACTAATCTACTATCACTTCTTCGCAAAACACTTGTAAATCCATCTACCAACACTTTACCCTTTTCATCTTCTTTGTTTGGCTCCATATTACCCTTAATAAAAAGCATGCCCAAAAGTTGAATGAAACATAGCAATGCATGAGGGCACATTATCTACCATCTTCAATAAAAAAAAATAAAAAAAGAAAAAACTATAAGCACACAAGTGCACAACCCAATAATGACACAATACCTATTCTCCAATAAACACGAAGTTAAAAGAAAATATCAAATATCATTATTGTGAACGTGAACTAAAATGACAAACCCAAAGCATAATGTGCTTTTATAAGGGCTAAAACAAAAGAAATTGGGGAACTTGAGAAGCAATGGAAAAAGATAAATAACTTGAAAATCAAATGCAAGAATAAACAGGAAAATAATCGTGAGTATATATTAACTTACACTTGAAAGTAAAAGAACATACCTTTGAGATGAGTTCAAATCCAAAGAACAAGTATAATCTCCATTCATACAAGAATACAAAGTTGATTGTATTATAAGAATGTTTTAATTTATTGAACATATAATTTAAATTTCAAGAATATACAATAGGAACATATCGGTTCTAAGTCTATAAGTTGTTTCGAAAACTGAGAACCCATCAATCTAATTTTATGATTTGGAACATCAAAAATAATCAATCCAAGAGCAAAATAAAATTGTGTTGAACAATAAATAAATGAAAAGCAATCCTGAAGTTTGAAAAATGAATTCCTGGCGTTTTATGTTGAGTAATTGAGTTGTTTTTGTATTCAGATTAGAAAGTATTCGTACGCATGTTGTTTTGGTGCATGCACACCGGTCGCATTTTTGTTGTCGTTTTAGAGCAATTAATCAGCGAATGATAATAACTAAATGAAAATAAATAAAGAATCCAGATTACAAAAAAAAAAAAAAAAAAAACAAGATCGAAGAAGAAAAATAATGATATTAATAGTTGGTATTAGGCCTGGTTATTGGGTAGGGCTACCCAATGGCAAAAGGGTCGGGCCTAATACTAAAGGGTTTTGACCCTTTAATTTTTTAATGGACAGGGCTTTTATAGGGTCTTATTTTATAGGGTTTTTATAGGGTTTTATTTTATAGCCCAATAATTTAATAATTAAACTAAAGAGCCCAATAATAATTGTAAGGGTCAGCAGTCAGCTACTACCTCTCTTCCATTTTCTCTCTCCTCCATTTTCTCTCTCCTCCATTGAAGCCACTCAGAGTTCTCCATTGAAGCGCAACTTCAGAGTTTTCCATTAAAGCACTCAGAGTTCTCCATTGAAGCGCAACTTCAGAGTTCTCCATTGAAGCGCAACTTCATAGTTCTCCATTAAAGCGCACTCAGAGTTCTCCATTGAAGCGCACTCAGAGTTCTCCATTGAAGTCGCGCACTCAGAGTCTCAGGTAACATCATTTTCTCTCTCTTAATCTGTTATTCAATTTTAATATCTGATTGAAGATCCGGTTTAGGTTATATGATGTGATTGAAAATCAATTCAAATTGGATTTTCTTCTGGGTGATTTTGCTTCTTACTTGAGCTTGGAGAGTGATAAAAGGATTGTGGGTAATTTTGCTACTTATGAGTCTGTTGTTCTTGGTGTTGCTAATGCTGATTTATTTTGGTGTTTTTAATTATAATTTGGGAGTTTTTTTTGCTTGATTATAATTGTGTTTGATCTGAACTCATGGATGAATGATTATAACCCTTAATTTTGTGTGCTAATCATGTCACATATTTTCTGCACTTGTGCCATTGAATGTTTTCATTTCTATATTAGCTACAATTTGAAAATACTTGAATTAAATCAAACCAATAAAGGCTTGATAAAGTATACTATTAATCCATCTATATATTCATACAAAGCCCATATTATCTACTAATATATGTAGTACTTTGAATGAATATAATGTGACTAAGCTGATGATTTAATTATAATTTGGGAGTTTTGCTTGATTTGATTATAGTAGTATAAGAATTGACTAAACTAGCATGATTATAGAACGAGAAAGCAAATGTGGTACTTGTGTGTTGACTGTTAAGGTTAGTGTAGTTGTGATACTACTACTACTACACTGAATTGGAGGCTGGACACTTATAAAATTTAACTATGTAGTACAAGTAGTATTTGTTTTATTACCTTAGCAAAGCACAACAGACCATATAAGATTCTGTTTTCGGATTTTGCTATTCTCCTGATCGAACTCCTAAATGTGCTGGCAGGGCAAAACAATTAATATGGATGATGATACTACTACTACTACTACTTCTACGGCACGTGATGATGGATATAATGAATACATTACTCCGCAACGAAAGAGAAAGAAGAGGTCTAAAGTTTGGAGAGAGCTTATTGAAGGGAAGAATGTTCAAGGTGAGAGAATTGCTACATGTGTACATTGTAATTCTATTTTATCTGCAAATCGTGATAGTGGTACATCTCATTTGAAGCGTCATTTAGAGAGGTGTGCAAATAGGCCTCTAGGACTTACATTTGAGGAAGATAGTGATGAAGAAAATTTTGTTTTTGACATGAATGAACTTCGAAAAGAGATTCTTAATTTCATTGTTGAGGGAGGTCATTCATTCACTATGGTTGAAGAACAAGGATTTAGGAGAATGATGAAAAGAGCTACCCCTAAGTTTAAACCATTTGGTCGTGCAACCACAAAGAGAGATTTATTGAAGGCTTATGTATTGGAGAGGGATAAATTGAAAGATTTCTTGTCTAATGTTTCGGGTAGAATTTGTTTAACAACCGATAATTGGAAATCAAATCATACTAGACAACATTTCATTTGTGTCACTTCTCACTTTGTTGATGATTCTTGGAAACTCCGTAAAAAAATTCTTAGGTTTAGGGCCTTAGCTCCTCCATATGATGGGATAAGTATTGCTAATGAGATTTGTATGTTCCTTTGCCAATGGAAATTAGATGATAGGATACTCTCTATCACCGTTGATAATGCAACTTATAATGATGCAATGATATCTTGTTTGAAGAGACGTCTTGTTCCTAGAGGAGGGTTAAGTTGTGGTGAGACATTGTTTCATGTGCGGTGTTGTGCCCATATTATTAATCTTATTGTGCAAAAAGGATTGACTTGTATTAGTGGAATTTTGGATAAAATTCGTTCATTTATAAAGTTGATCATCAAATCTTCTCATAGAAGTGAAGAATTCTATGATTGTGCGGAGAAGATATTTCACCTTGATGTAAAAAGGAAATTGAACCTTGATATGCATGTTCGTTGGAATTCCACGTATAAAATTCTTGGCACTTCTCTTTACTTCAAAGATGTTTTTCTTCACTTGAGATCTAGTCATGCTTCATTTCAATCATATATTCCTTTAGAGGATGAGTGGGAAAAAGTAAGCGTGATTCACAATTTTTTGGAGTTGTTTTATGAGGTTACTTGTATGTTTTCGGCGGTGAATTATCCTACTTCTAATGTGTATTTTAAAGGTGCATGGATGGTGCATCGCCATTTGCTTGAGGCGGAGAAAGGTCCTTATGATTATTTAAAGGAAATGGTGAAACCAATGCTTGAAAAATTTGACAAGTATTGGTCGGATTACAATTTTTACTTGTCATGTGCCGCCATTCTTGATCCGAGGTACAAAGTGAAATTTGTGGAATATTGTTTTAGTAAGTTATATGGAAGTGTAGAGGTCTCAAGACGAATTAACTTGGTGTTGGGAACTATGAAGTCAATGTTTGAGGACTATAAGTTGCAATATGCTAGTAGTTCACCTATTGTAGTTGCTCCTTCTCCTCCTAGTACTTCCGGAGCTAGAAACTACTTTGATGATTATGACCATTTTGTCGGTACTAGTGCAAGATCTCAAGTAGGAAAGTCACAACTTGAGATGTACCGAGATGATGATGCTTTAGATCTCAATTCACAATTAGATATTTTGGAGTTTTGGCATCAAAGTTCTGTGAGGTATCCTGTGGTATCTAAGATGGCACGGGATTTGTTGACTATTCCTATAAGTACTGTAGCTTCGGAGTCTGCTTTTAGTATTGGAGGAAAGACTGTTTCGGCATCGCGAAGTTCATTAAAGTCAAAAACAATTCAAGCTTTAGTATGTATGCAAGATTGGCATCGTGAAAGCAATCAAGTAGAGGTTGATAGTGAACTTGAAGATGAAATCATTGAAGAAGAAGAGGATGATGATGCAGACCCTTTCTACTAGGTAATATTCTCTTGTTCATTTCTCTACTAATAGTTCTGTTTTTTAGTCACATTACATTAAAGTAGTAAAGATTTGCTTGGTAGTGGCTGTTTCTGTCCTTGCTGGGTGCAACTTATGTCTGACTTCTGTTTTTTTTTTTTTTTTTCTGCTGGGGGCTGCAGGTCTTGTTTCTGTGTGCTGCTGGCTTTTTGGTTCTGTAGTTGCTTGTGTTGGTGTGGCTGGGAGGTGCTTTGTAGCTGCTGCTGTTGCTGGAGGCTGTTCTGAGTTCATGAAGCACTCAGAGCCAAAGAGCTTGTTTCATTCCTACTGCTGCTTCATTCTTTTGTGGTATCTGAGAACATTTGCTAAAATGTTGGCAATGAACTAGACCATTCTAGTAGTATTTCGTAAATCTAGAAACTAGTATATTACAATTGATGTAACAGGGTTAGTACTCTTGGTGAACTTATTTTGGCGTGCTGGTTTTCTCTACACAGGCTCTACTTCTGGTTTTATTTTGATGTGAAAGATTTTTATGAGACTTTGATCCTGCATATATCTTTGTCTGAGCACAAGTATACTATTTAAAGATTAGTATACCATTTAAAGATTAGTATGCTATTTAAAGATTAGTAGAAGTTAATGGCCCGTTAATGGCCCGCTTTACTTTTACCTCGACCCTGACCCGACCCTGACCCGCATTGACCCTGACCCGACCCTGACTCGCTAAATATTCATCATGACCCGCAACCGACCCGCCCCGCTAATGACCCGCACCGACCCGCCCAATAACCACCCCTAGTTGGTATGTACAATTGAATTACAAATATTGAAAGAATTATTTATGGGGAAAAAGAAAATGATTAAAAAAGACAGAGATTAAAATAAGAAGAACAGCAAAAGAAATAAGAAGAAAGATGATCCGTACGAGTTTTTTGGAATCATTGGCCATGGCGAGCTGATCTTCCCAAGCCTCCGTGCTGTGACAGCTCAATACTTTTCCTTCGTCGCCCATATCTCTCTCTTCTTCTTCTTCTCTTTCTCTTTCTCTCTTTCCAACAATATATTATATTATTTCTACTCGTATCATTCATTTATGCACTTTTCTCCTTTTCTTTTCGGATTATCCAAACAAAATATTCGTTGGATCGAGCGGCCTTGCGGTAAACACCTGTTTTTTTTCCTAAAAATAATATTCTCGTCAATGCTTCAACTTTTTATTTTTGCCATAATTCTAGTAACTCTCATCCCCAATTTGGTAAATTCCTAAGGAAATATTTACTCTATTAGCCAATTAATTGTACTCCATAATTTATCAAGTGTAATAAACCTTACTCCGTTTGTCTTTTTTTTTTTTTTTTTGAGAAAACTCCGTATGTCTTATAATGCAACTTCATCCGACCCAAATCTTGTTTTTCTTTGTAAATATTCAACCTCGCAATTAGAAGATGCTCATACTCGATACCCATGGGACTCGGGAATGAAGTCAATGAACAATAATTTCTCATACAAATTAATATACAATTCAATTCTAAGCCATTAGAAATAGTACATAGGTGATAGTTGTGCCCCATATGGCCATATGGGCATATGCACATAATTGCACAACTATGTGGAAGTCGAGCTCTATTTTGAATGTTTCAACATTAGTAAAATAGTAGTACGAAGATACTTCGTATTAGAAGCATGTACATTGCCATTGAAAAAAAAAACAGTAGCATTAACCGGTGAAACTTTTTACTCGATTACATGGTCGTTTCTGTACATTTAACGAGATAAACAAGAACTTGACAGAATGTTCAGGTACAAAAATACAAGTATAAAGTTTCACAACTGGATTAAAGCCTTAAAAAAATATGATCCAATAAAAAACCAACCAACAAGGATAATCATAAACAAAGCCCAAAATTTCAGAAAGGACCAGCCTCCAAGAACAAGACCCAAAGGAAATACAATAAGAAAGGGCAAGTAAGATTTTATGATGGAACCTCTGTCCACCCACCTACCCTTCAAGAGTATCAGTACTGCAAGACTAACCACATTCCACCTGCCACCATTGAAACCCAGACGGTTTAGATTGTTTGCCACAAAGGAGTGACAGTTGCAAGTCAAGATATTGTACGAATGGTGTTGAAATTCTAGTGTGCTTTTTCGAAGTGCATCATCCCACGTAAAAATATCTCCATCAGATTCACTTGGATTCTGTTGGTCTCCATTTCTATGGGAAGCCAAGACGGAAATTGAACGGCACAGCTGAATACAATGTAAGAAAACTTTTGAGTACTACACTACAACATAAGATTCCAAGTTCAGAAAATAATGTCCAAATTCACCCGCCAAGGCCCAAGCTAGCACTAATAATTAAGTATAACATAATGTGTATAAGGATTAAGGATGGCCTCCCATTGGCAGGCTAAGTAAGTCCCCAAATAAATGTAAATTAGATACATTAATTCTAGGTTTCTTTAAACTATCATGTGCTGCAATTCTGCAAACAATGCTCATAGCCTCATATTTGAGGCATATACCCTGCATGGCACTACAATTAACTCCACAGCTAGATAAGTGATGCAGCAAGCTAGCAATTACAAAGAGAGGGAGACTTAGGTTTGTCCCCATCCTCTTCTAAATTATCAATATAGGCATAAATTTTATATTACTGTAGTATTTTTGACTCGTGAATGTAGCCAGAATGTAGTTTGCTACTAGTTTCTGCTTCACTAGTAAATGAGAATAAATTAATTTTTTGGAGGCATCCAAACTGTATTAAATTAATTTTAAATAAAAAAAAAAGGCGAGATTTTGTTTGTAAGAGACTAGGAGTATACCTTTGCATCTATCTGTAGGTATCGAGTCACTGAGCCGAAGGAAAAGTTGTCGACACAAACATAGTTGGGGCCTGCAAAGTCCAAAATTACGCCATCCTCTCTGCAAATGCCAATATGACCAATAAAAGGAATCAACCATGAAATAACAGGAAGAGGTGTCCATACGATACAGAAAGGAAATCGAGCTCTTTTAGGGTCAATTTGTATGGCCTGTGGAGAACTTTCACAAATCATTTGTTGTCCTTCTGTGTCCATGTCTGGGGTGAAAAAAAACTGTATGAAAAAAAAAATGAAACTTGTCAGCATATAATGACTACGTTCTTCATTGTAAGAAAATCAAACAGGTCAAACAAGCCCAAGGTAATATTTTTAGTATGATACCAAAGGAGGAGTCATATACAACAGATATTAAGCAAGCTTCCCAGGATACTAAATGACAAGGTAGTTAAGGGTTGACAACAAAACACCAAAATCCATCACTCAATACATAAACTCTAGTGCCAAGTTAAAACACACTGCAGTGACTCAAGAAATCAAGATTCTCGCAGGGTTTCGTAAATGGTTTTTTGGTTAAATTTTAGCTTTTGGCTTTTTTATGTGGTCAAACAACCAAAATAAGTGTTTGGTAATTGGCTCTAGCTTTTAAGTCAAAATGAAAAAGCGGCTAAGAGTAGTTTTTTTGTTGGCTTTTGGCTTGTAGGCCCACAAATTATCTAATAAATAGCCAAGAGTTACCAACTAAATTTACCACACACTTTTATAACCAGCCAGCTTAAATAGCCAAACATTCCAGCGGGTTAAACAAGCCAAGTGAACTAGCCAACCGCCAACAACCATTTGCCAAACAAGGCCTCTGAGAAAAAAATACCTATAGAAGATTTTCCTGCTGACTCTAAGAAGTTCTCCCTTAGTCCCAACATTAAGTTCCCATTTACCTTACAGGAATGTCACAAATTACACTTCCCGTTCTGCGTACTTTCTATAATAATTGTTCCATAAGTGAATAGGTAGCATAATAGACATAGGGAATAGTTAATTACAATGATGTAGCACTTCTCTTCAAGGAAGTAGCATGCATATTCAAGGACATTTAACTACCAATATGGATAAGGCATATTGCATAAGCTAGCCTAAGCTTTGTTCAGAAAGAAGGCAAGTCCTTTACTCCATTACCCGAGAAAATCAACAATTATATCAGTTGACTTTCAGTAGAGTCGATTTTTTTTAAAATATACTATATTTGAGTTATTTCCCCATACATGTCTGTAAGCAAACCCTGCTTAAAGATAATCTTAGTGAGTTAGTGGTGTAATTTATCTTGTAAGAACCCAATATTGTTACATTGAGATTTGAGAATACATCCAATCTATTCATATGGCAATATTGCCTGAAGGATCATATAACCCCAATTGTATACCCAATCATTGCATTAGCATGAGTATAACTGTAGAAGTTACCTCACATAACTGCAAGGTACAAGAACTTGACACTCATACGTTTCGACTCCTGTTGTGTCTTTTGTACACTAAGACAGCTTCCCATATCATGCTGAATTGCTCAAAAGATATACAACTCCTAATTGGTCCTTAAGATCAAATTGGGAAGAATTAGGAAGGGGAGAAAAAGGTGCAGCTACCATACATATACAGAGCAATAGTGTATTTAGATGATAGAATTTGAGCAAGAGTGAGGTGTTTAAAATTTTCTTTAATGGAAAAAGGGACGGGAAAGAATTGGAAGATCCATTTTCCTTCCCATAAAAAATCACATTCTTCCACTATCACAAGTATTTGGAAGGAAAAACGAAGCACATTCATTCCACCTCCTCCCCTCCCCTCGCAAGCATAATGTAGGTCCTGTTATGAGAAGCATCTATCTAATTTCACAGGCCGCAAACTATGTAACCCTCAGTTAAGGTCGATCAAATTTCAGTAATTAAGAAATTGAGCTAAAGAGGAAATCGAACGTCAAATAAATTTTCATTTTCAAGGATTTCACTGTTGTATTCCCCCAAATTACTTCATTGTCAAAATAATTGATGATAAAATATGAGATACAAAGGAGATGAATCTAAGTGAAGGTGATTTAATTGAACAGAAGAAAACCTAAATTTCAAATCTAATACCATAAGAAAGAAGGTTAAAGAAGACAACAAAGAATAAGTTACCTTGACGAAGCTGATGGTATTGCCTTTGACGCCGATGATTGGCGTGGTGGAGACACCCAGACTTTATTTTCCTTTTTTTTTTTTCTTGTTTGTTTGTGGTGGTTGAGGGAGGAGTGGGGGGGAGGGAGCCTCGTTGTTCTTGTTAATAAACATAAAGTGATAGTTGTTTATCTAATGGTAAATTTTTTATTTTGGATGGGTATGGAATGTACACATTAATGATTTGTTTGGTTCAATATTTAGGCGTGTTCTATTTATTTGATTTTTACTAAGAGCACTCCCAGCAATGAGGGAAAAAGCCCTCATGAGTGAAAATTAAGGTGTAAAAAAAAAACCCGAACACTACATCAGTGAGGAAAATAGCTCTCACGGTTGAGGAGAACCAAAAACACACAAGAGTTGAGGAGAAATGAGAATGAACAGTAAATTGGTGGGACCCAGCAAAATCTGACGCAAGCCCATTATAATGGCTGAGAAAACGTCCAAAACGACGTGTTTTGTGCATTCCCAGGCCAAAACTACGTCGTTTTGGTGTTTTCTCAGCAAAAAAAATTTGAACTCCCTGGCATCTGACGCGCGTCAGGCCAGCCAATGGGCTTGCGACACGCATCAATTGCTTCCACCAATTAGATTTTTTCTGATTTTCCAACGGTTATATTCAAAAAAACGGTAATATTGCCGTTAAAAATATAAAAAATAAAAAATTCACCAACGGCCATAAAAAATTTTTCTCTATAAATAGACATGCATTTTGATATATTTTGATATACTTTCAAAAACACCAAAAATCTCCTATATTCACTAATTTCCTAATCCTCACTTCTTAATATTATAATTATTATTTACGTTTTTCTGAAAAAAAAAATATTATTATTATTATTATTATTATTATTATTATTAGTGTTATTATTATTATTATTAGTGTTATTATTATTATTATTATTATTGTTATTATCATTATTATTATTATAATTATCATTAATATTATTGTTGTTGTAGCTGTTTTTATTTTTTGAAAATATAATTTAGTTTTTGTTCTTTTAGTAATTGTTGATTTTTTTACTAATTATTGTTTAAAGCTTTATTTATTTTTCCAAAAATAAAAAGCTTTATTACTTTTCTACTCTATTAACTTATGGATCCTAATAACCCTAATTTTTCTAATCATTTCTCTGATTTGGGTGATGATTTTGTCACTAATCCTCGATTTCAGCTTTTCCTACAAAGGCTTGGAAACAATTCTTTGAAAAATTCAACACAACAAACACCTCATCAAACTCCTTTCCAAAACACTACCTATGAACCACATTCACCTCTTGTTTATCAAGGCACCGATTCTCAATTAGATGATGAAATGGAAGAAAATGTTCCAGACACTCCTCAATACTCTCCACCTCCTTCAAGAGTGTCTGTGAATCAAAACCAACCACTAACAAAAGGAAGTCGAATGTGGTCTGTTGCGGAGGATGAAGTTCTAATTGGTTTGTATCTTCAATTCAGTGAGGATGCAATTGTTGGTACAAGCCAAAAAGCAGTTGCGCTATGGCGAAAAATATCTGCAGCATATGATCAAGCACAGGCTGAGAGACCCCACATCCTGCCGCCAAGACCTTTGAGGAGTTTGGAAAGCCGTTGGAGAAGGATGGCAACTGATTTAATACAATGGAGTAGTTGCTATGACGAAGCTGGTAGGGCAACTGGAAGTGGTTACAACGAAGCAGACCGAATTAATAATGCAAGTAAGTTATTCTATATTTCCTCCAAGCCTACTCCACATAATTTTAATTGTCACCATGGTTGGGAAATGGTTAAAAATGACCCGAAGTGGAGGACAAAACTGAGATGGGTGTTGTCAAGAGAGGAAAGATTAGCTTGCGGTGATGCTGTCGAGGATGACAGTAGTGGAAGTGAAAAGCGGTGTAGAACTGATGATGAAGATGTTGTTCACGTTACCGGTTTCACTTCTGGGGGTCTTGCTCGACCTGATGGCGTTAAAAAGGCAAAGTCCAGGCGTAATAAGGGAAAAGGAGTGGTTGTTGACGTCTCAAACATTACCGAGCAAATGCAGCAGAATAATGCTAGGAGGGAAATCGAGGCACAAATGCGGTTGAAGAAGATGGATTTCGACATGGAAAGGGAAAGAAGGAAGCAAAAACAAGTAGAGCTTCACCAAAAACAAGTCGAAATTCAAGAGAGAAGGCTTAACTACGAAATGCTGCAAGATCTAATGGCAAAGGGACCGGACCTAACTCCTGATGAAGAGGCTTACAAGGAAGAATTACGTGCACTACTCTATGGTAGAAGGAACATGTAATTTAGATCAGCTTAATGTGTTTGCTACTGTTTTTATTTAATTAATGTTTAATGTAGTCCTTTTTATTTTAATTAATGTTAAGATGTACTCCTTTTTATTTACATTAATGTGAAATGAATTATGTTTTTTATAACATTAATTATGCAGTAAATTATTTACTTTATGAAATTTGTTTTTAATAAAAATCACATGTAATGGTTAATGACAAATAAACATCTCCCAATAAAATCTCCACAGCTTTATGTTGAAGAGTCAAATCAACTGTTCAAGTGTCATACATCACATGCATCTATAATTCAATTGCAATTCAGAGTGCAACGACACATCAATTTCATTGCAGAGATTGCATTGAAGTGTCATATGGACTATATATACATGCATGACACATCAATTTCATTGCAGAGATTGCAATGATACATGAATTTCAATTCAGAGTTACTCACATGCAAAATCAGAGCAACTCACATGCATTGATAGTCACTTGGACTATATATACATGCAAGTGTTATTCAAAACGGAAAGAATCCCAAACAAACCAACTATCAAACCATAACCAAAACATGTCTTTCATTTCCTCCACCTCAAGCTCTAGTTCTTCTGATTTCTCAAATAATGTTGAATTTGATCGGTTAGTTGATGATTATGCTGCTAACCACCTACCTCATATTTTAATTCCCCAACACTCATCACAAGAATCCCAGCTTAATAATGATATAGCAAATGTCCCGGAGCCTAAAAGGGATAGGGAAAGAGAAAAAGGGCATGTACAACTATATAACGATTATTTTGCGAGTAATGCAGTGTATAACGACAACCAATTCCGCCGTAGATTTCGTATGCGAAGATCTTTGTTCTGTCGCATTATGAATAAGGTGGTTGAAGGGGATCAATTCTTCAACAACGTCCGAATACAGCTGGAAAGCTTGGTTTATCACCGTTGCAGAAATGCACCGCTGCAATAAGAATGTTAGCGTATGGCGTAGCCCCCAATGTCGTGGATGAATATCTACGTATCGGCCAAACAACCTCAAGGAATGCATTGCAACATTTTTGTCAGGGGGTTATTTCACAATTTGAAAGTGAATATCTACGTAAACCTACAGATGAAGATTTAAGGAGAATCCTTCATCAAAATGAATTGCGTGGGTTTCCAGGCATGATTGGTAGTATAGACTGCATGCATTGGGAGTGGAAGAATTGTCCTACGGCTTGGAAAGCACAATATGCTGGTCGTAGCAAGACTGCAACCCTCATTCTTGAAGCCGTTGCTGATCAGGATTTATGGATTTGGCATGCGTTCTTTGGAATGCCTGGCTCATGTAATGATTTTAATGTCCTTTACCGTTCACCGGTGTTTGATGATGTTTTACAAGGTCGTGCACCACCAATAAATTTTTGGGTAAACGGACATCAATATGAGTTGGCCTACTACTTGGCAGATGGGATTTATCCGAAATGGCCAACTTTTATACAAGGTATTACACATCCTCAAGTTCAAAAAGACAAGTTGTTTGCTGATCAACAAGCAGCAGTTCGGAAAGACGTTGAACGGGCTTTCGGAGTTTTACAAGCTAGGTTTTCTATACTACGACAACCTGCACTGGCCTTCGACGAAGATATTCTTTGTGACATTATGAAAGCCTGTATAATAATGCACAACATGATCGTCGAGGATGAACGACACAACTACACACGGGCAGATGTTTTGAGACGATACTACGAAGAAGATCGACCACAACGTCCAGCAGCGCGGGCGGGACCGAGCACAAGTGCCACGGTGAATAACAACGAGCCATTTGAATTCAACATCGGGCGGCCGCCCAACACAGATTTCAACGCGTATTTTCAGAGGAGGATTGCCCTTCGTGATAGAGAAATTCATTCGTCTCTCAAACAAGATTTAGTAGAACACATATGACAGAACTTTCGTCATAATACGGCCGAATAAGCAAAGTTGTAGAATGTAATCGTATCGTGTTTAAGTTTTAATACTCGTCCTCGTGTATTATTTTAGCTCAAACCGCTTTTATTAAGTTCGTAAACGTACTGTTATTTAATATCCGATGTATTTGTATTGCTTTTTATGTGTTCATTTCAAAAATGTGCTTCTTATTATGTAATCGTTTAAGTTTAAGAAAACATCTTTCGTACAATCTATAATTGCTGTAATTTTTATTAATTATTATATTCTAATAAGAGCGTAAAATTCAAAATTATATTGAAAATGTTCTTTTTATTAATTTTACCCGTCATTAAATAAATACAAATATAAAACAATAAAAATAAAAATTTACCAAAATAATTAAAAAATTATTAAAAAAAATTACATTACAATTAAAATGTAATGAAAAAAAAAATTACATATTTTTAATTGTATTGGAAAGTTAAATATGTAGTATAAACATTATTAAAAAAAAAGGATAAAAAAAAGGTGATGTGTATTTATGGTGGGGTATAGTAAATAGTGGAGGATAAAGTGATGAGGAGTTTTTTTTTTAGAGCATTGGTGTAGAAAAAAAAAACCTCTCATGAGAGGAATTGGATGGGAAGAGAGAGAAAGTGGGTAGAGAGAGATTGAGCGGTTTGCTTTCTCCTCATTGCTGATAATGGTCTAATATGAATTTATCTTAACTTATTTAAACTTACCTAGTTTATCTTAATTTATCTAAACTTATTAATTTGTACTTGAGTAACCCTTATCAAAACTTAATCAACTTGAATTGAATTTAACTGAACTTATTACACCTGAAATAAGAGAAAATAAGGTCAACATAACAGCCCCTTAGTAAAAAGGATATGGATCTCAATGGCCTCCATGTTGCGAAGATATGTGCTGGTGGTGGTGATGGTTATTAATGAACAAACGCGAGGTTTTATGGTATCGGTGATGTTTTCAGCTAGCAAACATGAAGATAGGTGGTGACAGATGGGTTTTGGCAAGAAAACAAGAATATCGACAATGTTAATGATGGTTTTCGATGAGCAAATAGGAAGATGGAGAAAAGGTGTCGATGGTAGGTTTCATTAGAGGATGGAGAAGCTTGTTTTGGGAAGAAAAATGAAGAACTGAGTCATATGACGAGTCAACAATTTTATGACATGTCAATGAAAAATCAACAAAATTGGTTGATTCATTTGTATTTCCTTGGAGGGGGGTATCATACACCAAAATACGACACACGTCAATCCGTTACACCATGAGAATCAGGAACACATTATAGATTAGCAACTAGTATTTATTGGTTCTACATGTTATACTACGAGAAAATACAACTTTTTCTGATCTCTTTAATACACAACTCATATCTATTGTCACACTCACACACACACATATATTAATTTAATTACAAATTTATCATTTGATAAACAACTCACGTGTTATCAAGGTAAGAAACCGGACAAGTCTCTTATTTAACATTCCACCAAATTATTTCGTGCAAATAACAATTTTCTAATCATCATTGTATGTTATCATTGTATATATGTTGATGTCCAAAAACCACACATGTAAACATAACCAAGGGCGAAGCTACATGGGGGGCGGGTGGAGGCCCGACCCCCATGACCCAATTTCGTGGTTTATTATTTTAACTCTAGCCCCTATAAATATTTAGAATATATAATATTCTTGTTACTTATTTTCATATATTAAAGGCTTGCCATAGTGGTTTGATGAATCTCATTGATTGATGTTCAAGGCCCTAGGATCAAGCCTCCTAACTAACAAGATTAGTTTTTTTTTTCTTTTTCAAATCCCAATTACTAAGGGCTTCGTCATTGTTGATTTGTTTCACTACTCAATCAGTAATCTTATTTTATTTTCTTAATTTTTTAAAATAATTTGTAAAATTCTTCTTTATGTTAATTGCTAAGGTTTAAGGATTAAATACTAGGACTAGTTTACTCGTTACTAAACTTTTTTAGATGATCCATTTAATTTTTTCACCCTTATTCACCTAAGCTACTTTGTTTGTCATTTCCTATTTATATATAAGATACATTATAATTAAAAATTATCTTATTATATTCATCTGAATTTATTAGTACTTCGTATGTTTTTTTTTTTTTTTTTTTTTTTTTTTTTTTTTTTTGGGTAATGTTTATACTTAATTAGATATACTGATAGCTAACGAAATATATTATGAAGCTTGTCTTAATAAATCTAGGCATATATGCAAGAAGAATAGAGGAAGTGTTTGTATACCATCAAGATTGATATGTATGTTATTATTTTGATAATTGTGATATGTAGGATATCTCATACAAAATAATCTAACAAATACTTCGAATATATTTTAGTAGAATGCATGGTTTAAAAAAAGATTGAATGAATTTTTTTTCCCTACAGTTAGAGTATCCAACCATGTTCATATTTATTTTATTTTATTTTATTTTATTTTTATTAAAGTGTTAGTCGGCCCCTAAAGCTTTAAAATCCTGGCTTCGCCCCTGAACATAACCATTGTAAAAAGCATTGTTGCTGTACACATAAACATTTTGCATTTTATATCTTTTAAAATCTAAGAGCCAAAAGCAAGCAAATAATACAATAACATGTTTTCCACGCCAATATCTCAATTGCTTTGACCAACACTATATGGAGAATGTAAAGTTACACAGTCGATTGAAGTAGCTAGGTAATTACTTCATCTGTTTCAAAATAAATGTCCTAATTTAACTGACATATTTGCCAACGCTAAAATTCGTCCTAATGTCTTAAATATTTTTTTTTGAGGCAATCCTAATGTCTTTAATTATATATAAATACTCCGTTCAAATTATAAACTGGTATCTAAGAAAATTTCCCAAATAATAAAAAAAAAAAAAAAAGGTTTGTACTAGGCCGGTAAAAGTTAGCAAAAGCCAAACTGCCTAAAGACGGGAATTGATGTAATTAGTCGTAAAAGCAGTTGGCAACTTGGCACAGAGCGGTAATCAATTGATTAAACAAAGCTCTCGCGCTTCGCTTCTATATTCCCGCTTGAATTGAGGAAGAAATAGAAGCCCTAGAAATCTGACAAAAACCCTAATTGTAAATTGCATCGCAATGCCACCTTTACCTGCAAACGATGATCTCATTGTCGTTGAAATTCCTAGCGACGACGAAGAAAGCGTCCCACCTCAACCAACAAGTAGTAATGGCAAGCAACCAAATTCCAAGGTTTTGGAAGCTTCTACGAAACTTAACTCAGCAGATCCCGACTTCACCAGGCAGAAACTTGATTGTCGAAGTTTCTGGAAAGCCGGTGCCTACGAAATCGGCCCCTCTTCATTTGTTCCTGCTCAGGGTAACCTACCTTTTTTCAAATTTTTTTTTTTTAATTAATTTTGTTTATTTTTTTTTAAAAAAGTGTTGTTAATTTTGCTGTATCTGGTTTTGCAGGTGAATTGGAGCATGCACGTGTTCATCCAAAGTTTCTTCACTCCAATGCTACTTCTCATAAATGGGCTTTTGGTGGTGGGTTTTTTTTTATTTTTTATATATTTTTTTTTGTTATCAGTTGATTACACTTGGTTTGCTTATTTATTTTCATAATACTCTTGTTGGCAGAGTATCATATTACTTGGTTACTCAGTGTTTGTAACTGCCATGATTCCGATAGTACTTGATTTACTGATGTTATATTAGCATTACCAAGACTTGGGATATAGGAAATGGATCATTCTGGGCATTTTGGTGTAAGATGTGTTATTCATTTGTTTGGCAAGTTTGTACCGCATTTAATAGAAGCTATAGTGCACTTCATATTATCATGTATTTGGCCAAGAGCGGGAAACTCTTCTAGCCCTTTAACACATGGAAGGACGAAGGAGGATCAGAAGGCGGAAGCCAGAAGGCTTATTCTTCTTGCTCTAGTCTAGCCATTGATAAATCAACATTTAACTTTGAAAAGTCAATATTTGGAAAAACTCAATTTACTAAAAGTCTGAACAATTTATACCATTGGATAGCAAACTAATACTTCTGAGTGGTGCTAGGCTGGGTTGAAACTTTTATATGTATATATATATGAGTAATCAGAGTTAGTTTTATTTATTATTTTTGGTGCAACTCTTCCTTTGTACTCTGTAGTTTGTAACTTTGTGTAGCTACTTGTGAGTTATGACTTATCTTTACATTCGACTTCCGATTTTATAGATAGTTGTTTTACATCATTTTTTATGTGTGTTACAGCTATTGCTGAGCTCCTGGACAATGCTGTTGACGAGGTGAATATTCACATCTTTCTGTCTTGTTCCTTTTGGTTTATAAAGCAACGGGTCTGATTTTGGAGAATTATAGATATTTATTGGTTTGTTGTCATGGTTTGCTTTTGGATGTGTGGTACTCCATGCTCTAATTGTCTATGAAAGTATGCTTCTGTGACGTTTGTTAGAACAAATTGATTTGGTCCCTGAACTAAGAGTTATCATTTCGATAACATGGTGGTGTCTGCACCCAAATTTGACAATGTAGCAACAAATATAGATATACTTAAATGTTAAGTAAGAGGGTATCAAAAGCAGTCACCTTGGCTAGTCACTATTATATTGGTTTAATTGATTGAGTTAATTAATCAAAAACAATGAAGTATATAGGCAGTACACAAGTCTCATTTGTGTTTGTTGGTGACAGTATGGTAGCAGGAACCGTCACTTAGGCATGTCACTGTCTTTGTAGCTCAGACCCTGGTACTCTTATACTATTTGACTATTTGTGTTTTGACTAGAGTCACTAGACCCTTGTTGAAAAGGTATAGGACTTGCCTACATGTATTTAGTAATTTAATGTCATTTTCTAGTCCATAGTTTGGTAAGTCTTGACTGTGATATATATATTCAAAAATCTTTAATGCATTTCTCGATAAGTTGTGAGGTTTGTTTGTTTGTTTATTTGTTTATTTTTTTTTTCTAGTTCAATGGCTTCAGCTTATTTGCTTATTTGTTTTATTTTCTTGCTTATGGTTGTAGATACAAAATGGTGCTACATATGTGAAAGTTGATAAAGTTCTTAATGTGAAGGACAACTCTCCTGCGTTACTTTTCCAAGGTATTACATTGTTATCAAACTGTCTTATACTATTGGAATATATGAACTTCACATGTTCACTGTTCAGACTAATATTATCATAAATTCCACTGTATATGCTAAGATGTCTGAGTTGTGTACAGATGATGGTGGTGGAATGGATCCAGATGGAATAAGAAAATGTATGAGCTTGGGTTACTCGTCAAAGAAATCAAATACTACAATCGGGCAATGTAAGTTCTTATTTATATGAATCTGTAATTTTTTTTAGGTTTTAAGTTCATGAACATTTGCTCTAAAGTCGGCATAGTCTTTTCCTTTTACAGGATAGAGTTTTCATTTCTATTATCTACTTGTAGAACGTACAAGTGATTATCCAAACATGTTATTTGGTTAGAGCTTGAAAGTCTTGAAAGTTAACTTTTATAACTCTTGAACTTAAAGAATTCCTTTCGTCAAAAAAAACTTTTAAGAATTCCTAGTGTGTAATAATTCTCGCCTTTGTTTGTAAAAATAGCTGTCTTTATTGGTGATCAGGTGTTCTCTTTAAAGATACAGAAAACTAGATAGCTTTCTAATGTGGTTTGACCGCAAGAGGGAGTAATCCCTTTACTCCCTCCTCCCTGTGTGTGTGGGGGGGTGGGGGGTGGGGGTGGAAGAGTATAGAAAGTGAACAGCAACTTAAATAGCTGAACCAACATACCTCATTGGGCACTCCGCACTTAAATCTAGTTGTTCAAGCTCAACCAATGAGCCAGAAGAATAAGAATGATTGATTATTCCAATGGTTAATTTACTTAGGGTTTTGGGGGTTGGGTGCGATGGTATACCTTGGCCCGTTAATAATTTCCCCCTTTGGGTTAAGGTTGTTGGCTGCGTTTATCCTACTTCCAGGCACTTGCACTAAACATATGAAGCTTCATGCACATGTTCTTTTTTATAATTTGTAATTTTTTTTGATTGGCAGTTTTACTTTTACGCAGTGGTATATTTTCCATTCCCCGCACTTAGTTCAGCCAATACCTATACAAAATTTCATGGAATTTGTTTCTAGTTTGGATGTACAATATTTTGTGAAAAACTTTATTAATATTGTGCTTGCAGCAATGTCTGCAAGTTACTATTATTACAACTCCACAGAGTCCACACCCTTGATTTTGTCCCCTATGCGCTGATTGCACTTCCTTATTTTTCCAATGTCTTGTACTTCTTCCTGTTGTTAAATGATCCATGGGTTGCTTTCAGATGGAAATGGATTTAAGACAAGTACGATGCGTCTGGGTGCTGATGTAATTGTCTTAAGTCGTTCGACACGTTCAGGGTAATTTTCCCTTTTGTTCATTTGTAGCTTTTGGTGTAATAAATTTATGTCCTGCTTTTGCTCCCTAATTTTCTTGTTTTCTACTCATTTCTATGTATTGTCTCCTCTTTTTTTTTTTTTTTTTTTTTTTTTTTTTTTTTTTTTTATAATTATTATTATTTTTATAATATAAGTGAAGGAAGATATTGCACATAGAGAGGTTGAATTTATGGGACACAAGGTTTGAAGGGTGAACAAAGAGGGGAGAGGAACTGACCTTTTCAAGCCTAAATAATTATATATGGATATCTAATCAAGGATAATTAGACTTCAATAGTTCAAAACACAACAATAATGCTTTTATAGATTTAACTGAGCTTTTAAAAATTCAAAGTAGTGTTTTTCTCATCATGTACGCTAGCCTAGAGAAAACAAGGATGAAATCGTATATACATCTCATTTTCTACTTGAAAGCTTCACTCAACTTATCTAGAAATGGCTGTGTAAATTTAGGCTTAGCAAGGCCATCTTCTCTTCCCTCTAATTCCCAAGCTTTTTAAACCCTTAAATGCCTAGTTGCTCTGCATATCACTCTCTTCATTTCTCCCTTCAATTGTAAATGCAGACCAAAAATGTCTATTTCTTGTTACTCAAGACTTCAAATATATATTTTAAAGGATTGTTGATGAACTAAAAACATGTCCTGCTAGCCTTTTTGTGCATTTTTATAGTGATGATAAGTTCATGTTGAATATTTACCTGTAGCATATTCTTTAGCTTGTTCACAGAAGATTATTTGTTTTCCTTTTCTTGGCGTGTAATACTTTCAGGCGTGCTACACAAAGTGTTGGTCTACTGTCTTACACTTTCTTACGGTTGACTGGACAAGATGATGTCATTGTCCCAATGGTACTTCTTTGTTTTCTAAAACAATTAAACATATTCCATTGGGCATTATGATTTCCTCTTCTAGTTTTCTTATCCTGGAATTTTGTAATTTACCTTGTATTATGACTATAATCTGCAGGTTGATTTTGACATTTCTAACCATTGGGCAGAGCCAATAATCTACAGCTCACATAATGATTGGACAACAAACTTGAAAACTATCCTTGAGTGGTCTCCCTTTGCTACAAAGGAGGAACTTATGATGCAGGTTAGTTTTGACTAATGGATGCTGATGTATCGTATTTCTTGCTTAATAATCATTTTTTTTTACTGAACTGAAAACTGAAACGTTCATACTCTTGTTGCTGGATATTATTAGCCTAAAATTTTCCAATACTCATTTTGTGCTTTGCAGTTTGAGGATATTGGACCTCATGGATCAAAAGTTATAGTATACAATCTTTGGCTGAATGATGAAGGCATTTATGAATTGAATTTTGACGATGATAATGAGGTACATTTCAGGGAGTTACAAACCCTTCCACCCCTGCCCCCCCACCCCCCCCTCTTTTTTTATTTTTATTTTTTTTAAAGAAGATAAATATAAATGACTGAATGAAGATGTCCTGTTGAAGATTCTTCAGGAGGCCTTGGGGTACTGTTGACTGTCATATTACAAGGAAGAGATTACTTATTAATGAGGATTGATATAAGTAGTGTGATGTTATGTTCTTTGTTATGAAAGGAGAGCTTGGTAGAGAGGAGTCTTTTGTGATTTTTGTGCAATATCATTGAATAGATTATTCTTGCTAGGCAGTCAGTTTAATGAAAATTCATCATAAGGTCATAAGTTCATAACCCTCTCTATTATCTGTAAATGTAAAAAAGTGTAACTATCTGAAATTTTGTTGAGCACAGGTATTAAAGCCTCTTAAAATGCTTGGTATGGAAGCACAAACTTAAAAAAGGTGCCTGATGTGCCGGCCGGTTTCTCATTATGAGAAACTTGCTTTTGTGTGAGCGTGTCAGTTTGTATGAAGCTAGTTTCCTGGCTTATTTGCTCTTAATAGTTAATATAGCGCTATTTTGTTGTTTTAATTCTGCTTCACTTACAACCATTTTTTTTTAATCTTCTTTGTCTTTTATATTTGGTTCTACTGATTGTCAGTCACCCTTTCATACATGTTTAATTAGATTTATTTTGATTAAGATTTAGAGTAACAATTTGTCTGTGTTTTTTTTATGGATCTAATGAATCTTTTGATTTATTTTTTATTTATGTGCGGCTTATACCTGTTCATTATCGTACAGGACATAAAGCTAAGGGATGAAGCTAGTCGAGTGAGTGGGCTGAAAGTAAACAAACGAACACTTGAATTGCAATCACACATCTCATATCGCCTCCGCTATTCGTTGCGGGTGCCTCTCTTTTCACTTACACTTGCTGTTTACTCTAATTCATTTTTGTTTACTATTTGCTACCAAGTGCATGCTGGTCTAATGTAACTCAAATATGAAATTTTTTTGCAGGCCTATTCTTCCGTTTTGTACATAAGGAAGTTCAAGAACTTCAAGATTGTGCTGAGGGGTAAACCTGTAGAGCAATTCAATATTGCAGATGAGCTCCAATATAAACAAGTGGTGACCTATAAGCCACAGCTTGCTGCAACGTCTAATGAGGTAAAAAAAAAAAATCTTATATATTAAAATGCAGAAATTTCATCTTCTTACGCATGCTCAATTTAGTCGAGGTAATCTATTGTAGGAAGGGAGACATGGTGGAAATGTGCATTGATATGTCCATTTACTTACAATTGATATATTAATGTGTTTTTGCTAATGTATTTAGTACTAGTGGGCCAATGGCCATTAACAATAACAATAATGATAATAATACTCGTAATTTTAGATATATTTGTGGGTAGACCCATTACATGTAAGCTTTTGAGAAAAATTACCACCTCTAATTTTCTGCTCTACTCACTTAGATTTGTTGGCCTAGTGAATGACTGATGCTCCTTCAACTGCCTCCCTCTTTTTATTTAATTACATTATTATATTATCGATCACATTTAAAGGCTAATCTCCGTGTAATAGCATTTTGGCTGTACCACTTCAATTATTCTGCATTTTATTTGTCAGCATATATTAACACTGTTCATAAAAATTGAACTGAATGGTGTTGTTAATCAAGAGATTGTTGCTTGAATGAGGATTGGGGAGTGTGTTTTCTTCTACATTCTAAATTTATACTATATATTTTCCTGTACTAACTATTGTGCTATTTTCCTGTCTACTAGGTTTTAGTTAAAACCACCATTGGATTTATAAAAGAAGCTCCAGATCTTAATGTTTCTGGGTTCAATGTGTACCATAAAAATCGCCTCATAAGGGTATGCTGGATTGTTCTTACTTCGTCTCTTGGATGCTTATGAAGTTATGATATATGCTTTTTTACAGTCCTTGTTGCACATGGTGGATTCAGCTTATAGTGACTTAATTCTGTCTGCTGAATTGTTGATTTGCTTGCTTTAGTACCTTGTTTTGTCATTCAGTAAAATATGCTTTTTTATCTAAAGTTATTTGTTCACTTAGTAACCTTACAAAAACACATCGTATCAAGGATTTAGGGTATCAATGCAATAACTAAGGATTCCTTAGTATTTGTGTATATTCTGTATAACCTTAAATGAAGCTTATTTGAGTATTTCGGAATGGTGGAATTACTGAAGTAGCTCATAATAATTGGATTCACATAAAGCTCTTATCTCTGTACGTTCTTGGTATTCATTTATTTCCTGCTGCATTTATTTAAGCAAGCTATGTAATCCTTTTGAAGACCTCAGTAAATTCCGTCCATTTTTTTTTTTGACATTTACATATGATTTCCATGCGTTTGTTCACCTTAATTCACTTTCTGACATTAAAATATTGGAGCTGCTATTATATTCTTTTTAGGTCATTGAACTCTTCTTATGTATTAACTTGTAGATGTATTTATGATTCTCAAATATGTTTTTTTTCTTTCCAAAAAAATAAAATATCCTTTTTAATTCAAATTTCAGCTGGTTGCCTTTTTATCCTTCTCTTTCTGCTTGTTCTGCAATTTTATCCGTGTATCTATCATTTACATGTGCATACAAATTCATTGCGACTTGCTTACTTGAATTACTTTTGGTTGCAGCCTTTCTGGAAGGTCTCTCGTGATGGAAGTTCTGTGGGGAATGGTGTTGTTGGTATGTTGAATTATGTTTTTTGTTTTATTTTGGAAATGTTATTTGCCTATGATTCCTCTCTTTGTTTAGGTTGTTTAGGCACACATTTCTTAATTCAGTGCTTTTATTTAGGTGTTCTTGAAGCGAATTTCATAGAACCAGCACATGACAAGCAGGATTTCGAGAGATCATCATTGTTTATTCGGCTGGAAACTAGGATGAAGCAAATGGTTTTTGATTACTGGTTTGTTCCACGCTGACAATTTGTCTGCTTATTAAGATATCTGTATATATTGGTCATATACACTATATAATGGCTACGTGTGCCTGAAATCTGAATATTCATTAATTTGCTTATCATTAGTGTGGATTTAAAGTCTTGCAGATAAAGAGGGTTATAAGTTTTTGTTCAATTCTATAGTTTCTAATGCAGTAGTGATTAGGATGACACTTACTTTAATCTCATGCATGGCACAGGAAAAGCCATTGTCATTTTGTTGGATTCCAGCGGCGTGATCAGCCTCCTGCTAAAATAAAAAAATTATCTCATTCTGATGACCAAACAAATAAACTTCCAACAACTGGAACTGGATTTCAAGAAGGATTCACTTCAAGTCGACCCTTTGTTGGTCCTTCCCCTGGATCTAGAAGAAGTTACCAAGAAAATTCATCTACTGAGCAGTCTGTTGTTGAGCTCTCTGCTGTAAGTACTCTTGACTTTACTTATATTTGTTCCCGTCTTTGGGTGTGGATGAGCAAACTGAAGGTTGATCTTGATAGATCTGAAATGCACCTTGGAATAAAAAAGCTTGGCCTTAATATTTGCAATTTCTATATATGTGTGATTTCATTATTTCAGGGGTCTTGGTGTCAGTGAGCTTGAGAATGTTGAGCTTAGGCTTGGTTCAGTTTGTGACTCTTTCTTGTTCTTTCCCAATTTGGCTTTCTTTCTAACCCTTGTGTTGTATATGTATGTGTGTATGGACCAAATATTTCATTGATTTGAAATTACAATAGTAGCGGTTTCAACCATATCCTTCTTACACCTTCAAACAGCAACAGTCGACATTCATATGCAACAAGTATGCAATGTGTATAGTTCAAAGGCTGCCTCCTAGAGACCCCTTATGATCTATTCTCATATTCCCCATTTTCTGGAAGTGCTGCAAAGTACAGACTTTAGTCTAAGGATTCTTTAATGTCTGTTGTCAGCAAAAGATAAATATTAGATATATTACCTTTACGATGATGTCCTCATGTGATCAAGTTTTTTGTTGATGGGTGTTGGGAGATTTTGAGGTCTAATCTAGATACGGCATGAGTGTGGTTGTTAGCTTAGGGCCGAATCATCATCCAAGAGCCATTTAATTGTTGTTGCTTTTTAGCTAGAGAAGATTTCTCATCTTTTGATTTTGCTGGTGGGAGTGAGTGGCATCTCTTAGATGCTGTAATTTTACCTTTTCCATGTCGCAATTAGCAATATTGCGTGAACCTCAGAGATGTTTTTGACTTTGTGGTGAATTTGTTCAAGTTGGGTGAGGCTAGATGTTAGTATGATCATTGGGACAGATATGTAATAAAGCAAAACTTGTCAAGTGAGCTGGTAGTTTGCATGAAGGGCTTTTATTGCTGAAAGATCAGGGAGAGGAGAGAGTCATAATGTGTAAATATTGTGAGGATAAGAAGATAAGGTAGTAAATGAGGTTTGCCATTTATAGAATAAAACAAAAGTGTAAAGTGTTTTCTGTAACGAACTAAAAAGAACAGTGTAAAGAACTTTCAGTGACGGAGATAGTAATAATTTATTATTTTGAATTGTAATAGTTAGCTATGCTTGGATTGCATGAATAGACATATCTGATTGCTGACATGCACTAGGAAGCCTTAAATGTACCTGGATGCGTGATCTCTTCACGACAAATAACAAATTGATAATGTTAAGAAATTGTAAACAATATTTAGAAGGGATTGGATATTATACTGGAAGGATAGTACCTACCGTGATTTTGCTGTTAGGTTTGATTCTTAGAAACTGCTTGGGCTGGATATAATTTTCTCTGCTCTCCGAGTATATATATTGGTTATTCTGCTTAATTCCTATCGATGCATTACATCCTTTATGTGTGGAAATAAGCATTTATGTCAGAGTTCCCTTTGCATAGCTTTTCTTCGCAAGGTATATAAGAGGTAAGCTCAGCTGCTGTTTTTGATAACTATTGCCCATATCTGATTCATTTAAGTGCACCTGGTAAACGGGTTTGCATTTTGATCAATTTCATTCTTTAAAACTATTTGAATTTTGAAGTCAAAACTTCTTGTTAGAGGAATCAAATCATGTCTGATTGACTGCTCAGAACCTAAATTTTCTGAGCAGATGGTGTATATATATTTTTTTGAATAGTAAGCAGATGGTGTATATGGATGTATTTGTGTTTGTCGAATCTAGAATTTTGCTATTAAATCGTAATTGTTTCTTTCTGTCATCTAAAGAGGTTATGATATTTGTAGGATGAAGCAGTGGATAATTCTATAGCCTCTTTATCTATTGAACAAATTTGTGAAGAGAATATTCAATTATTTGCAAGGTAGGTTGGTTCATTTGGCCTCTCTATTGTTTGTTTATACCTACCTTTTTCAGACATCATGAAGAGTTTCATTATGATAATCTGCTGCATAACTCAATCATTTATCACCGTTTCTGCCCAGAATAGAAATGTATCTTTTATGCAATTGGAATGCTAGGCAATCTAATCTTAATTGTGTGTTTTCATGTGCAAATGAATCACTTAAAAGAAAACTTCATGTATTGGTGTTTGAAGTTTGCTGAAAAGTAAATAACTGTTCAGATATGTATATAAACTTAATTGTTTGATATGAAATAAATACGAAGTATAATGTTTATGTGATAATAGAAGTCGTGTAATTTTGTCAGTTATAAATACTAACTCAATTGTCAGTTGTAAAATTAGCTGTTATGGTTGAAGTCATATTTTGTCTTCTCTCTTTACTATCAATTGTTTGATTGATTTGATTTGATTAATTAAGCCATGGTCTAGCAAAAAAAAAAGTAGTGTGGAATATATTGTATTGAAAAACTAAAAAGTTATGAAGACAAAAAAGAGTTTGTTATTTATTTTTATTTAAAAATAAAAATTCAAATATGGACTTGCTAATTTTAACATTAAGCCAAATAGACGTACAGGTACTTTGTTTACTCGCAGCTTACTTGTGGGTAGAACTGGACTAAAGTGACATTGGTTTTGATTTAGTGTGACCGGCTGACCGTTGTGGTGCCAGATTATTGTTTAATGAATCTATAGTACTTTATCTGAAAGAGAATAGGAGGAAAAGTTTGATGTCATTCATAACACGTCTAATTATAAGTCCATTAGCCTTCCAGACCTTGCCAAAGTGGGACTTTGGTTACTGACAGGCCCTCCACTGAATTTAAATTACTCTTCTTCAACTGCATAATCCTATCTTTGATGATGTAGAATGTTCTATGGATGGTATGAATAGGAAAGGCACAGTTATAGGAAATAAAAAATTTGATATTCTGTGCAGGTGTGAAGAACATGGGCAGAAAGAGCATGAGCTAAAACAGACGGTATGTTAACATAACAACCTTTTATATTTCCCCGTCCACTGTGTTGTTAATTTTGGATATTGTAACATGCATTTTGTATCACTGGTTATATAGGTCAACAAACTAGAGAAGGAGTTGGAGGAAACAAGGAAAAAATGTGCACAGCTTGCAGCATACCTGGAAAGTCGGAAGAAACAGCATAGTCTGATGCAGCAGGCAGGGCATGTTTGATAGGGAAATTTAGAGTCGTCTAGCTGATATGAGGTAGCCGGAGAAGGTGAACTGAAGCAAGACTTTGTAAGCACTACATGATATCTGTTCATGACCTTGAAATCTATGGGATGCACTGCGTGCTTCAGTTGTTATGATCTAGAGGTAGCATTTCAACATTAGGGGTTCTTTTTGTAAATCAAACTGGTATCTTATTATATGTATTAAGCTTAATTCAATCCGTGCAGGCATGGATGTAATCTAAGCAAGCTGTACCTGGAAATTGAAGTTATTCCTTCAGAACAACCCTAATGTGAATCTCACTTTGCTTTGTGGCATCCAAGATTTCTGTGGAAGGTAGTTATGATCTAGAGGTAGCATTTCAACATTAGGGGTTCTTTTTGTAAATCAAACTGGTATCTTATTATATGTATTAAGCTTAATTCAATCCGTGCAGGCATGGATGTAATCTAAGCAAGCTGTACCTGGAAATTGAAGTTATTCCTTCAGAACAACCCTAATGTGAATCTCACTTTGCTTTGTGGCATCCAAGATTTCTGTGGAAGGTAGTGGGTAGGTATTGTGGAAAAATGTCAAGCGCCATCTCTTGTAAATATGACTACTGTGGGATGTGGGAAATATAAGTTCTGAACTATTGTATATGCCTTTGTAAGTGTTTAGTTCATTTAATATAGTTGTAGAAAGGGGCATTAATTGATATCGAAGGTCTAATGAAGCAATAAAGCAGTTAAGCTTCAGGATTTATACTTCAGCAAAGTTTGAGATCTAATACGGAGTATCACAAGCACTAATAATAATAATTTTTATGACATAATTCTTGTTACTCAAAAGAGTTTTTTCTTTTTATTTTATTTTATTTTATTTATTTTTTATTTTTATATTTTGTTTTTGCACGGTAAGATATGGGGGGATGCTCCTCTTAGCCTCCTATCACGTCACTATTGGGGGAGATGGAGGGACAAACCGTTTGTCCACTCATTAATCCTCGCTTAAAAGAGAAATCTTATCTCTTTCACTCAAATGATTTTTCGGGGTTAATAATCAACTATACAAAATTGCAAATTGTTGACGGATTGAATGGGCGTTGAGTTTGTAACATATTATTTTCTATGCAAGTATAGTACTTGTATTTTTATGGTGGATTGCAGGTTGAAACTGATTCAACTTTCAACTTTGTTGATGATATAATTTATAGAATCTATTTTCTTTGTTCTTATTAGTCAACATATTTTGAATTTGACGGTATTTTACTAACCTATTCACAAACGTGCCTAAAGTAAATACATATTGTGTTTTTTCTAAAAAAAAAAAAAAAAAAAAAAAAAAAAAAAAAAACGTATTGTGTTAACCGTCTGTCAAGTAATTGTATTAACTATTAACTTATTATTAAGTGATTTTCTACCCCAACACAGAAAGGAAAAAAAAAAAAACGTTATTAAACGAGGGAGGAAGTTAATTTTGGTTTTCTGAGATAAAAGTGCGAAAAATAATCGACAAGGCAAAGGAGGCAGTGATCAGTGATCACTCAAGGAGGATACAGAGATGAGGAAGCGCGATCTTGCCATTCTCATGCTCGCTGCTTTCGCCATTTTTTTCTCTCTCCAGGTTTGTTAAACCTTCAAAACCCTAGACTTTCTTTTTTCAATTTGAATTTGAATTTGAATTGACCTAATTTTTCTGTCTGGAATAGCACGAGGGAGACTTGTCGTTTAGGGAGGCATGGTTTCATCTGTTGGATGATTACCCCATCAAATACGAAGCCGATCGCCTTCCTCCGCCCATCGTCGCCGATCTCAACGGTGATGGCAAGATTGAGGTCCTCGTTGCCACTCATGATGCTAAAATTCAGGTTTTCTGTTCTTCTTATTCAAGTTTTATGATTTATTATCATTGTTAGAATATGCTATTTGTTAAAATCTCAATTAACTTAGTCTGTATATTTAGAGTTGAATTGATTGCTTTACCAAATACCAAATGATTGCATTTCTATATTTATTTAGGTGCTGGAGCCGCATGCTAGACGTGTTGATGAGGGATTTAGTGAAGCGCGTGTTCTTGCTGAGGTTACATTGTTGCCTGACAAAGTCCGTGTTGCCTCTGGGAGACGCGCTGTTGCTATGGCAACCGGTGTTATCGATCGAAACTACCGCAAAGGCCAGCCTCGTAAGCAGGTTTTGGTGGTAGTCACATCAGGATGGTCCGTCATGTGTTTTGACCATAATCTTAAAAAGTTATGGGAAGCTAATTTGCAGGTATGCGCTGTTGCTATGGCAACTGGTATTATCCAAGGCTTGTTATTCACATTACTTGCTCTATGCTCTGCAGGAGGATTTTCCTCATAATGCTCACCACAGAGAGGTTGCAATTTCAATAAGCAATTATACTATCAAGCATGGAGATACGGGACTCATTATTGTTGGTGGAAGGATGGAAGTGCAACCTCATGTATGTCTAACTTTATTATCAACTGTTGCGTAACAAAGACGTTTTACATTTTTTCTTGTGTAATATTGAGAATAAGACATATATATATATATATATATATATATATATATATATATATATATATATAGGAAGAGTCATTTCATGAAGTAATCGCAGAAGATTAGCTTGAGCAATCACTAATGAAGCTTTTCCTTAATCCTCAGTGGTTCCTTTATTAGCACACAAGTAAATGAGCTACCATTAAGCTAATATATTGGTTATTCATGTCAAAAACCAACTTCTTATATAACCAACCTATGATTTTAGCTATAAAACCAAGAGATTGTTGGTGTTCAGCTGCACGCAAAGTGTTCACATGGCAGCGCTCCATACATGCCTGATGCTGCACACTGGTGAAACAAATCAGTTCCTTAAATCAGCATTTGATGCTGGCTGTACCCCTTTAGCATACTCCCCAGTGCATGTTGTGCATTTCTCGTGCTGGTTGCACAGATCCTATATACAGTGCATTCATAACAATTTAGATTAGCAGCCAACCAAAATCTCATCTCCAAACTTAGTTCAATGGTACTTTTTGCTTAATGCTCAACTCTCCACAAGCAATATTTCTAGGCATAATCCACAAAAGCTGCTCTTATGTTTATTTTTAATTTTTTTTATTTTATTTAATAATCAAGTCAACATTCCATCCTTTGCCACCCTATTGTGATTGATATCACAGATTGTTAAATTGTGTGCCGTACTTTTGGCTGCAGATATTTTTAGATCCTTTTGAGGAGATGGGTATGGCTGAGAAGAATGCAGAACAGCATAGGAGAAGTGCAGGTGAAACTGAGGTATAAATAGTGTAAGCATGATGTATTGCAGTTTATAATTTTTCTTTTTCGCTCGTGGTCCAGTATAATACCCCTTGTTAAGAATATATACCCCATCAATTGTTAAGAATATATACTAAGGTGGGTATAAATACAACATGGTGTATTAGGTACGAAACTATTAGTATATCATTTTTTCAACAGTTGTGTTCTTTCTGCCGTGTGATCCTTCTCTGTTACAATGTTTTTCTAAAAACCTTTGAAATGGTTGCTGTCTGCCCTACTCCTAAACACTGCATGCGTGTGTACAAATCTCATTCTCTTTAACACAAAAGTATCTAAATGACCAAAACTTCATATGGCTTGTGTCAGTTTTCTGTGTGTCATAAGTCACACCCAATGCCTAGTAGAGTCACAGATTTCAATTATTGGTTTTTCTTACTCACTATATTACATTTTTTCCTCTGGCTGCTCATGTTTATGGCTCAAGGTGCGAAAATGTGGATTATCTTCTACAAAGAGTGCTGGTTTTTGCTGCTATGCTATAATGTTCTGCTTTATATCCTCTAGTTAACATTTTCTTGAATCAAGTATTTGAACTAAAATTATTTTAATCTGATCATCAAACCCATGAAGTGAATTTGTCTTCCTTTTATGTAATGTTGATTCAAATTCAACGTTTATAAATTGTTTGTGTCACAGTCTGTGGAGAATGAAGTTGTGGATTTGCGGCACTTTGCATTTTATGCATTTGCTGGTAAAAGTGGCCAGCTCCGATGGAGTAGAAAGAACGAGGTTTGTCCTTTCTCTGTGTATAATGCATTTGTGGGTGATGGAGTTATACCCCCTGTCCATCCTGGAATCTCTTCACTTTATATAATTACTTATTCACTGCACCAATCTTGAGAAAGCATATACTGTAATTTACCTTTGTAAAAAAAAAATCTTGCTTTCACTTGTTACAGTGATCCACAGTGATGTAATGCCTGCACATCATTAACCTGCTTGGTTTGTGTCCTTGCCATGGATTAAAAGATTTTGTTTATATAGTATATATGTGGATTTCAATCGAAATATACTTGTTATAGTGAGATTGTATGTGCCTACTAATATCCATTGCTTTAATTTTTTGCTTACATATCTTTTTTATTCAATATTTTATCATAATTACCTGTATATATAGATCATGTATTTTATTGTTTCCTTGTTTCTAATATATGGTTGTGTTCTTGTTCCTTGACAAATGATTTGGACACTTGGAAAGCTATTGGTTGCCAAATGCTAATAACTTGTGACAGATAATAATATTTCTAGATAATCACATCTTTCTTAATTCAAGGTCTCTTTGTGTCCTGTGCTCCGGTCAGGAATTTTAAAGGAAAGAACTGACCCCATTGTTATTATTAATATATGAATTATACCATATAAACGTTAAGAAATAATAGCACATTGTGGGTTTTTTTAAGTCTTTGCTTTTGGGTATTGCACATATTGGAAACTTTAAAATATTAAGCATTTCCTGGTGTTTCCCCCATTATACTCTATGCTGTTTCATTAACTGCAATTTTAGGATTTGTATAATTATTGTAAGATTACTCACCACGTATGACTGTAGCTGTACCTATATATTGACTTAACAACCCTCCCTGTGTTTGAAGAAAATTGAAGCGCAATCCTCAGATGCATCCATGTTGATTCCACAACATAATTACAAGCTTGATGCTCACTCTTTACACAGTCGACATCCTGGAGAGGTGAGCTCATGAGACATGACCAGTATTTTGCTGAACTGTCCAAGTGTCACAATCTTTTTCTATTTTCCTGAGATTGTAACTCTGTAATATTATGGTTACTTTTGTTGGTCTGTGGAGTTCTATGTCAAGATTATCTGTCTCTCTTTTATTTCCACTGAAATTTATAAAGCACCCTGGATGAGTTGCTGTAGAATAAGATTGGCTGATATTGTCTTTTTCGATGTTGGTAGTTGATATCATATTGGGCTTTTAATTATTTTTTATTGAACGAGTTTCCAAAATGGTATTTGAAGCAAAAAGGTAAAAAAGATGATTAAGAATTTTAGAGTTTTCAGACTCCACACCAAAAATTTCGACTCGTCTTCAATAAAAAAAATCCCCACTAGTATCCATTTAGGCTATTAGTCCTGATCATCACGAGGCTAAAACTAGTGCTTTATAAAGTTTTCCAAGCACTTTAGTGACTTTAAAATAGTTGCTATGTAATTTAGCGATTTTGTTCCAACACGGGAAAAAAAAAATTTGGGTTTCCTAATACTATATGGACATTATTCTTGGAAAAAGTTTACTGACCAATTTTGGAATTTGTTCACTTCCAACACAGTTATGGGAAATCATATCTTTTCCTGTTATCTCTCAAGCTAAATACTGTTTGAAATGTTAATTATCGAGTCTTTGTTTGTTAAAAATAAGGCATCGGGATGCTGTATTTTATCATTGATGTGATTCTTCTATAATGTGCTACCTTTTGCTTTTAATGTATGCTGTATAGATGTTTTTGCCAAACAGTAGCTCACTTAAACTTCCTAACCTACAGTTTGAGTGCAGAGAATTTAGAGAATCTATCCTGGGAGTAATGCCACATC